GCTTGGTGGCGGAGTGGTCTAGCCTGACTCATGTTTAAAGTCATGTTGAAAAAGCACCGACAATGCCCTCTTGAGCATAAGAAATTAACCTGCTCCTAACAACAACAACAAAAAAAAAAGGATTAAAAAAGGACCAATGCGAGGAGCTGAAAGGAGATAGAGCTTATGGCAATTCACACCGAATAGTGCTTCTATTTTAAGTGCTGAATGGTTAGATGAAAAAGATAAATCAGCTACTATAGACTATGCCCATCAGGGGCGTCATTTCATTTTTTTTTCAGGGCGTGGGGGGGGAAACCAAAACTTGGTCGGATTGTTACGTTGCTTATTACTGGAGGTGCCACAGTAAATATCAATTTAAATAAAACCTGCAAATTAGGGGGTGGGGGTAAATGCCCCCCTGCCCTACTCAAATGATGTCCCTGATCCCTATTGTTACGATAGAGCAAACATGGCTACTCCTTGGGAAGATGATAGCAGCTAGAAACTAAGCTATAATTGTCAGCTTTACTGACAATAATCATAGTTATACCACAGACAATGATATTTAGTCTTTAACAACCTTTCAATTGATTCTGCATTATAAAATTTAAGTGTAAAAACTTTTTAACTTGTTGATTAAAAAGCTAAAGATGTAATGTTTTCACTACAATTTTGTCTCATTAAATAGATCAGCACAAGTAAAATGCATTATAAATTTATTTATAATATAATTCCTTTTTTTATTTTTATTTATTTTTTGGGGGGTGGGGGGTTAGAAAGTGTTGACATAATTAAATAGGGGGTCATTGAAATTTTGTTGACAGGGGGGGGGGTCAAAGATTGCTTAAAAATTGTTGACGTAATTAATGGACGACCCCAAAGTATAATGATGCAATACCAAATTTAACTATTTATAAAAATAATTCCTGGGGACTATAAAGATTTAAGTGGCGCGACTAGGCACTAACAGAGGCTGAGCTGACTGTGTTTTTGATCTTAATTATTTTTTTTACATCGATGAAACAGAATGCTCCTGGATCAGTTGTGTAGGAATGAGCGGTAACTGAAGAGTTGTCGTCCCCGTTCTCACCCACCCCCCCCAGTAAGTAGAGTGACTAAAGCTTGGCCCGCCCCGGATGGAACTCATCCTGGCTACGCCGATGATTTGACTGACCCAAAAAAACAAAACAAAAAAAACAATGCACACGAGTTGTTATTTTTTTATTACATATATTATTGGCAATGCATATTTCCTTTGGAAATTTAGATACACGTTTAAATAGGTTTAGATCTATTTTATTTTTAAATTAGGTCAATCATGCAAAATCGTGATCTATCTTTCTGTCAACTACCTAAAATATTCAATTTATATAGGTGCCCGGAATTATTTCACTATGTATAACCAATAGTTCACTTAATAAAAGCAAAAAAAACCCCAAAAAAAACAAACAAACAAGAGGTGTCGATTGAATATTTTAATAGTGCCACAGTCACAGTCAAAAAGAAGAAGAAATTAGGCAATTTCTGGCACTCACTCTGCTCAACCAGTGCTTTAGAAAGATGGTTATGTGAGCGGAATTCAAGTTTGGAAATGAAAGTTTAAACAAGGTAGATAATACTGTTCTTTAATAATTTTTGGAGCCTTCGGGTTTATGGTCTAAACAGAGTTACCCAAACTTTTAAGTTTGGCGGACCGGTCGTCAAGTCTCCCATTTAACCACGGTCACGACCTACGAGTACTCTAGTGGGTCATGCCACGGTCAGTGCCATATTTATTATTTATTTTAATATTATTATTTGATATTAAATATGTCATAAAATATTTATTTTTTTAAATCCGTGATCAGCCAATGCGAGGAGACTCTTAACTATCACCATTTAATACTAGCAATTAAAAGTTGTTGTTTTTTTTTCATTTTGAAAGCTGTTAAACTTTATTTAACTTATAGTTATAGGCCTATCAATTTTCTTTGTGGACCGGCACCACAACTTTGGGGAACACTGGTCTAAACAAATCCCTTACGGAGCCCTTTTTAGAATCACTTTCTATGGCCTACGCTATGTTTTACGCCTATTTAACAAGTTAATGGTGTACAGGAGTTATGTTACGGAGGGGTGTAGGGGGGACCAGCCCTTGATGAGTGCACGTGGCGCTCTTAGGGCACCTCGGAGCACAATCTGGGGATCATTTGTCTAAACTTTCTACAGATTTCTTTAATTTCTACAAATCTCCTTTCTTTAAATTTAAAGCGTTTTGTCACGTTATTGAAAGTCCTTAAAGTTATCTTGCAGGTTGCTGACCATAGTAAAGATGAAACGTCATAAACTAGTGACAATGGGTAGGTTTATCACAAAATATTTTCTGATTTGTAAATTTGGCGACTTATTTCTTAGTTTTCCATTAATAAAATCTCGATAACCTGTTTTACCATTCAGTCATTTTTTTCAGAAAATGAAATCGTCACAATTTAAGTATGGTGTCAAAATATTCGTTTGAAAAGGGGTTGGGGTATCAGAATATTTAATATAGTTCATGGGAGTGAAATAAAAAAAGTATGCAGTCGCGTGTCATGGGGGGAAGGGGTGTAACGAAAATTGGGATTCTTAAATGTGCGTTACTTGAGTTCATGTTGTGTCAAGTAACTTTAATAGATGGTAAGTTCACGCATTGCTGTCGCCCATGTTTGGCGGGCTGTAGGGGCTGTCCATAAAGTAAGTCACGATATTTTTGACAATTTTACCCCCCCCCCTCCCGTCACAAACAAACTGTCACAAATCCCGGACCCCCCCCCCCCCCAACCCTAAAGTACGTCACACCTTCGAACAATTTAAAAAAAAAAAATTAACACCTAATTAAAATTTAATCTAAAACACACTTCACTATTAAACTGTATTAAAATATAAGAATTCCACTTAAAAGAACTATCACACTATTAAAATTACGGTACTTTAATAGTAGAATAGTTAATTGTCAACAGCTGTCACAGTTATTCATTGAAGAGTAACTCAATCTAGATTGAATTTGAAACCAAAAATTGCAAAAATTAGACTAGACAATTATATAATACACTTCATTTATCTGCTGCTTTTTCATTTACTAAAGGTGAGGTCAAGTTTTAAATAATTTCCGATTATGCAATCTTTTTTACACAGGATAAGAAGTAGAAGGAAACAAAACAATTTGACCAAAAAAAGACTAGATTGACAAACTATGTGACAAACTCTTGTGCTGTATTGAATCTGTTTATTATGGGCCTGTGAATTATGTTTAATTCAAAAATATTCACTGGACATCATCCATCCATGGTGAAGTCCATAGTAACGACTGGCATCAATCTTTCACCACCATCGTTTCCTGGAAGGATAATTGCAGACAGATCAACTTCATCCTCATGTAGCCACTCAACATCCTCTGAATGTGCATTTTCTCTTCTGTCACTAACTGCCGTGAGTTCTCTTTGCCTTCTAGCGGCGATTCTCAAAGGACTGACGCGTTGATTATCTGAGTTCATTCTAGAACAGTTTGGGTTGGCACATTTCCCGAGCCCAAGCTCTGTGTTGTCCTACATGTTTCTTCGACATTGTTTGTGAGGCAAAGTATAAGTGACATACTTTGCAAATTCGATCAAGTAAGCTGGTCTGCAAAGATGGACAATAAAGATCATATAATTGTACTTTGAAAACTCCTGTTGATCTCGGCAAGGCTATACATAAAACAAGGCTTCGCAACAGCATACTAGCGCTCCTAGAGAGAGGAATCGTGAACAACACATTCAGGAGATACGCATTTCGTGCTATTTTGACATAAAACTAATTCAAATGTTTCACAAAATGGTTGAAAATTATTTTTAAAGCTATTAAATTCTACTAAAAAATAATAAATAGATTAGAAATAAAATTTAAAAAATAAATAAATGTGTGACGTCATACATGGCCTGATCACCCCCCTACTCCTGTCACAAACTTAATTGTTAAAAATTATTTTTAAAACATATAAATTCTACTAAAAAATAATAAATAGATTAAAAATAAAATTTAAAAAATAAATAAATGTGTGACCTCATACATGGCCTGCCCCCCCCCCCCCCCCTGTCACAAACTGTCACACTTTCTTACCCCCCCCCCTCCCCTCTGGAGCGTGATTTACTTTATGAACGGCCCCATGCCCATAGGCATAGACCTATCAAGTATTACATAGTATTACCTTGTCCACAGAATATGTTGTTTCAGCCTTATACAGGAATTAAAAAATATGAAAATATCTGCAGAAACTTTTTAAAACAATTTTTTGGGGGCGAACTGTTTTGATAAATGTATTTATTAAGTCAAACAACTAAGTAACTAAGGTGACTAAACATAAATTTTAGTTAATATTTATAGTCTAATCTAAATCTAAGGAACCTATTTAATATAGGCCAACGATAATGATATGATTAGAGCAATGCTATGATGGAGTATAACTTAAACATTTATGTAATAGGCCTATCGAACTGTATAATCCGAAGACTATTTATTTAATAAATATAAACTAATAAACCCTATTTAATTGAGTAATGAGTATTTATGTAAAATAATCTACGAAACATACTTGTACTAAAAATGGTTATAAGATGGCAATTATTTATTAATTTCAAATTATATTCTAATTGAAGCTTAAATTATTGTATTATTCAATAGAATAATATATATTATTGAATTATTGTAATGCAAAGTATACAAAAATTCATTCATCTTCTAATTTTATTTTTATAATTTACAGTCAATCTTAACATTTTAATTAATTATTAATAGTAATCTTGATGGAAGAGAGAAATTTTTAATATTGTAGGTCTACAACTTTAGAATCATTTAACTTTCAAAACGTTATCATAAATAAATGTTTAAAACTAAACAAATAATTTGTTGCTTATTTTGAAAGTATAATTTGTGGAACGCTTTCGGTTTTCAAATTTTAAATTTCCCTGAAAGTTATAACAAGCAGAAAAAAATACAACTAAATTTAGATATTCAGTGCTGAACTGTTATATCATGGCGGACTTTGGAGATTCCCAGTTTCATATGTCGAGGCTGAGAGAATTAAATCAGCAATACAAATAATATTTAATTAGCTAAAACAACCAGCCTAAAACCATTATGAAAACCTGACACAACATCTTCTTGTTATGAGTGAAGTATTGAATGTTGAATATGTCAAATCTCCAGAAAAAGATGCCAAAAGCAACGGCACTGGCAACGCTGGAGATGGACGAGGAGATCAGCAAACCCCACCGTCTACAACACGGGCAGTTGATCGTAGGGGAAGAGGAGAAAGTTCTTATATCACAGAAAACAGGCTTAAACATTCCTCCTCTAGAAGTGATCTAAGCATGCGGGATGACAGAAATCATTCTTATTCTGGAAGAGAAGGACATAGAAGTGACCATCGGAGTAAAGAAAAATCTAGACGAAGCACAAGCAGAGGAGGAACTCCACAGACACAGCCAAACTCAACCAATAATACAAATAGTATTAGCAACAACAGTGGCAATAATCCAAGTTATATCTCAAGGGGAAGACGAAATGATGAAATTGATAGAAGGGGCAATTCAAATAACAATCTTCGATCAGGGCGGCGTGTTGACGATGCTCAACGTTCTCGACCACAAGGCCCTCCACAAACATCAAACTCAGGCTATGAAAAGAAAGGTATTTAAAAAAAAAAAATAGTTCTCCCAATTTATATATTTCAAACTCATCTGTTAATTTTTAAGATGAGCCTTACCCATGGAAAGGTAAATTTTGTTTTTATTTTGACTAGGCTTAATTATTAATAAATCGTTAATACTTAATTTTTAATAGAGAATAAAATAATAATAATCAATATAGGCCCAGCTTACCCTTTTGGCTTGGGACAGAGCATTTTTGGACTGTCTGTGCCAAGAAGACAGAACCCTATTCATAAGACCTGCACTTACTTTCCAAAAAAATGTATAAAAAATTAACTAATTACTTTAAAAATATAAAGCTATAAGAATATAATATATATATTCTTGTATGGAAATGAATGAACTAATACAATTATGAATCAAATTGAAATCTCAACATTTATACAAATGGCATTTCCTGATTTGCATAATCTATATATTTCAGGGTTTTTTTCCACTTAGATTATAATAAACATGTTTACTTGCAGAATTTTGTTAAATTTAAATTTTATGATGTTGAAGCCTAAATAAGTTTTAACCCATTTTCAATGAGATTCGGTGTGATAAACTGCACAAAATATTCTCCTTGGCTGCTTATGGCTTTTGACATATTTCAAGGTCACATAATTTTAAAGCATTTTTAGGTGTCACTAGGTGATATAAAATAACAGAACACATTAGTCTAAAGGGACCCGGTTCTGAATAGCGGTGTACATGCTATTCGGATGTCATTTGTGGTAGTTTATTTTAGTTAAACTTAAGAAATAAGTTTACAAAAATATAGTCCAATCAATTATCTTTCATTTGATACCAAACTTCGTCTTACAAACCCTACAATAATTTTTAAATATTTTTTAATAAACCCAAACTCTCACTTCTCGTAGCCGGGTCAGAATAGCCGCATCCTAAAGCTATACCATTTCATTTTCATAGTCGAAATAAACAGTCTGAAATAATCTGCTGTACTGCTATTAAATAGAAAGCTATCAAATCAGCAACACTGGTCAAATTGTCTGATCAACACTCAGTGTATCAAATTGTCTGATCAACACTCAGTGTATCACACTGTCATCAGACCCCTCTAGATCACTCTTCAAAGTCGACAATTAGTATGTGTGTGTTACTGGGTGATTTGACGCATTGGGTCACATTAGTAGTGAGGGGGATATGTCAAATTTGTGATCGCAATAGTAGCAAATGGGTTAACTATAGACTAAGTATAATTAAACTACACCAAAAATAAAGGTAGGCCAAAATAATTTACAATGATAGTTTATCACATTTGTTTAAATAACCGACTTGAAATCAATAAATTCATTGCAGTTGTCGAAGGTAAAGATGGAAACAAAACCTTCATTGAGGATCCACTTATAAAACTGATGAAAAGAATCACCCGAGTAGGCTTTGAACGAGAAAGACGATTAACTTCTGCACGTCAGTTGAAAGATTATCTGCATGGGCCTGAAGTGAAAACAACTAAAGTAATTCCTAATTGTGTGGTTGTGTATTGTATTTGTACTGGTTTGAAATAGCCTTTATTTTAAATTATCCTATTTTTAGAACTATATTTTGAATTTATAATGGTCACTTTAACTTTCAAATTTTTTTTTTTTAAAGTATGGCTTAGTCTAAGTACTTGTATTTAGTAAATGAAGATTTAGCTGTTATGTGTGTGATTTAAAATGTTTTTTTTTCTACTTATACATTAGACAACAAATTTTTAGCATCAAAAAGGGGTACCTGAAGATAGATATTTCAAAATATATATTTTTGGAGAAGAATATCTATTTGGCTTTTGACCTTATGCTCAGATCTTTGAGTCTTCTGAGAAGCAAAACTTAAGTTAAATTTAAGACAGCTGCACCTGTTTCTTTGTTAAACTTTAAGTTATTCAAATCTTTAATTTTGTATGCCTGACATGCACTAGTTATTTTTTTAAGAACATTTCCTTTTTTATTTGTTTTATGATTACTGAATCCCCACTCTAATTATTTTACTTTTCTCTTCCGATTATTACCAAAACCTATGAATTTGCCTATTTCAGTCCCCCAAGCAGATTTTTGATGCAATTGAAAGTCTGCAAAGTGTTTTATTTGAAAGGTAACTGAAAGGGTCACAATTTTAAGGAAGATAATAAACATAAAAAAAGTATTCAATGATAGTTGTTTGTTCATTTTTTTAGAGTTAATTAATAAAAAGTGTATCATATCAAGTGACTTTTCTGATTTCTCGTTGGCAGCAAGACTGAACTTCTGAGAAAATGTTAGCATTTATGTTACAACTTACCTATTTTTATTAATCACTTCAGAAGTGGTAAAGAGCTCAAACAAGAAGTGGCACTGTGTATTGGTATTTTGGGCAGCTATCTTGGACAAGAGATACCAGGGTATTTGTGTTTTCCCCATAAATTTGTTTTTAAAAAAATATATTTTAATTTAAGCTTCAACTAATAATTCTTAGAGACGGGTAGACTTGATAATATCTAGATTTGTAATACTTGGAGGAGGGCTGCCACTTAAAGTAACCATTATTATGTAACTGGAATTGAAAAGATGGATACTGCTAAATTACTAGAATTGTGGTAGTGTAAATTTTGTTTGACTCACCAGCTATGTGAATTGGGCAGGTCGTTTGAACTTTTTAACCTATTAAAAATAAACAGCACTGTTTTATACCGGGCTTTAAAACAGTAGCTAAACTTGGCGGCATTAAAAATTTCTCTCTGCTCAATATAGCTTTAGTCTTGCTAGTTTAGTTACAGCTGAAATAAAATCTGGTTATTTAAATTTTTAAAAATGTAAATAACATTGACATCCAAAAAAAAACTCTACTGAAGTAAATAACACAATGATCATATTTTGCAGATTCTTTGAATGGGTTTTTACAAATGTGAATTCTTCAGACACTGATGTGAAAGCTTTCGTATCTTTAGCCCTATTAGAGGTACATTTTTGTGTATATTCTTTTACACAGAATATGTTTTTTAACTAAGTAGTTTCTTTTCTCTAAAACATCTATTAAATTTTAAAATAGACAGGTTTGAAAAGCAAAAAGCAAAATTCTTAAGACTATTCACAGGATTAATAAAAAAAAAAAATCTCTTTGCAAAATTATATTGCGTTAAAAGCTGGAGTATGAAGTAAAGGCTTCAATGAAGTATAGCAAATATTTTAATGAAGACAAAGATAATTGATAGTAATATGAAAATTTAATTAAATTACATTTTTTTCCTAGATGCTGAAGCAAGATGAATCACTGCAAAGAGCCAGAGATTTCATGGGGGTCAGTATATGAACAAATATTTTAAGCCTTTGATCAATAATAAGATCTGCAAATTATTAAAATGACAATGGATTTGAAAATGGTTAGATTTATTTATTTTTTTAATGTTTGAACATAATACTTTTGTTGATAGAAAAGTGTAATCTTTCAGAATGTAATGGTCAATATTCAGCACATGCTTGAGTCTGCAAACGCTTCATATCTGCTCATTGTTGTGATGGACATCATTATTGTAATTGCAAGAGTTTATCCCCATGTATTTAGCTCTTGCTTTAGAGTAAGTACCTTCAAACTACTAATACAATTTAAATACTCAGCTCTTCCATAGGCTTTTAATATGTACAATTTCAAAATACTTGCTTCTTTTATTGTTTCAAGTTATTTTCTATGTTTGTTAAAGTTGAAATGTACTTGTTTGCTTTTAAGGAAGTATCTGACATTGTGATTGGCTGGCTTATAGATCCCACCCAGAACATGCACCTTATTGACCACATGTCTTCAGCCCTTGTACAGCTTCAGCCCTTTTGGAAGTCAGACATTCAGTTCTCTGTGATGCTGCTTGGTCAGTTTACAGAGGACCTGGAAATCATGTTAGGACAGGTCTGTTTCATGCAAAACAAATTATAGTTATTTTTTAAAAATGGTTTCATGTTAGATATATGTATTTTGTTGCCTTAATGAATTCCAAACTTTTACAGGATTTGAACCAAGCAATTCAGGGATCAAGTGATACATCTGTTAAAACTGTAACGGAAAAGATTACAGCCCTGTTGCGAGTGTTCTACACTGTGGTGCTTAGTCTAGGGGACTCTATCAGCACTCTTAAAGGTGGACAAATCAATGTAGACTTTTTGGCTCAGGTAAAGAGATTTTCTTAATTTAATGTTTACATAGATACATTTTCAATTTCCTAAAATATTGATAACCCTTTGATTTGAAATGTGCAGGTTTTTTTTTTTCAGAAACATTAATTTTGAAAGTTTTATGGCATCTTTAAATCAAACAATTCTTTTTGAGGTTCAAGTAAATGATATTAGGGATGTTTAAAAGAATCTTGCCTTACATCGGTAAATTGTGAAAAGGTGAACACTTTTATACTGCTCCTCAAATATTCTAATATTGAAAATATTATTATTGTACTTCTATCATCACTAGTTACTAAACAAGCTTTTGGGTAGCTTAGGCCCTGCCTTGAAAAATGGGAGTGCAGAAAGCATAACAATCATTAGTAAGTACTTTTGAATTCATTGTTTTTTTCAATAATGATCCTTAAAATTTTAACAGTAGTCATTAAATAGCTGAAATATTTGTTTAAAAGAATAGAAGCACATGGTCTTGAATAGTTGTTTTGTTTTTTTAAATTTAGTGATGAGTTGGTAAAACGTAATTGATAAAAAGTATACAATACAATGTTAATATGTGACATACTCAATGATTTGTTTTTTTTTCTAGGCAATGACAGTGCCAGGTTGTTGCTTCATCAACTGTCAGCAGAGCATGCAATGAGCTGTGGGGATATTATACTACCATATATTATTTCACAGACCGTTTCATCAAAAATAACTTCAGATCCTGTTGCCGTTTCCGTTTTGCGTTTGTTGAAGAAGGTATTGATGTATAATTTAGCTTACTGTACCTCCTTGAAAAGATTAAAATGGGTCAGCATTCTGATAATGCATAAGAAAAAATGTTTGTCAGTTTCTTCAATTTTTTTCACAGTTTTATATACAAAAATACTATAACATAGATGCCCTGTTTAATACTGATCTAGACATTTCAATTTTTACCCAGATTGTAGAGATTTTCAGCACCCAGCTCCCTGTCTATTTTCTTGGGCATCTTCTTGGACCTGGCTCAGCTTTACTGGTTTACAGGTTTTCTCACTGCCCACAGGTATTACCTTGTGATCATTTTATGCATTTAGCCCTTTACAGGGCAGAGGTACTTCCTCTTGCATGTCCTGAACGGGCACCACTTTTCTGTTTTTTAGTAAAATTTAGGGTTAAGTTACAAAAAAAATCAAATCTAAGGTTTTAGTCAACAAATTTGTGTGAAATAAAAAGCAAAATAAAGGAAAATGAATGCCGATTTATGATTGTACTCACATTTTGCCATTAATCCTTATATAAACACAAATATTTGCAAAAGCAACATATTGTTTGTGATTGTGAGTCATCTATTTACTATTTACAAACACTGCAACAAAGTTGAAGTTTGTAAAGTTGATTTCACTAATATTACTAAATGTCACTTTAATGTTAATGTTGTTAAAATGTATATGGTTTATTGTAATTTATTTACAATCAATTCGTGCACTTAAATGTCACTTTAATGTTAATGATTCCAGCGAAATCTCCGCTATCACTTGAATAATCGGCAAAATCCATTTCGACAAAAAAAAATGTTTAAACCACTAAAACAAAAAAAAATCGATTAAATACTTGTAACTGGCGCCTACTCTATTTAGCTATCGGAAAAAATGGGTGTAAACAATAGGAAGTCTCGGAAAGCCTCGGAGGTCACGAGAAAACAACACTAAGTTGTCACGGACGCTTTGGGGCATTTTGCCCTTTAAGTGGTAAAGACGTTTTCGGCCGCTCTGCCCCGTAAAGGGTTAAACAACTTGTGACTTTGAAACTTGTTTGAATTATTGTTTATTTTTAGTATTAAAAAAATAAATAAGATTAGGTACCACAAAAGATTAAGTTGTGAAATATTTCATTACAATAAACCATATACATTTTAACATTAACGGTTATGATAAAACTTTGAGATTCCAGGAGACATTTTATAAAGTTTCTTTAAATTATTTAGTCTTTTTATTGTGTTTTCAAATTTTAAATATTTTGTATCAGGTGCTCACAGAAATGATGGCGGTTTATCATTCACTTTTGGCCTTGAAAAGTGTACCTCTTCTTGAGGAAGCATACAGGTATGACATAATGTTATTTATGTTTCTAAAGGAAAAAAAATCTTCAGGTTTTAAAAAAAAAATAATAAAAATCATATTATTTATATTTGTATTTCTGAACAGACTGGTACTGAGTGACTTAGAAGTTGGATTCAACATATTGCTTCATCAAGGCCAACAGAAACCTTTGCAGCTAGTTACAGGGGAAAACCCTTTTAGGGCAAGTCACTACAGCCTCAGACAAGCCCAACAGGCCATTATGTTTAACATTGGAGCATTGACAGAGATAGCCAATACTAAGAGTAATCTGATAGGGGTAGGTTACATTTAAAATATGATGAATGATTTTATTTTAAGAAGATAATATCTCATAATATTGTTTTTAAAAATATATTAATAAACAAATTAAAAGTTGTATTCAAATTATGAATGTTTGTTTCATTGCTTATAATAAAGTTCAGAGCCTCATACTCTCATATCACTAGACTGACAAGATTTGGTCTATATGGCTCTAATAAAATGATATTTTTATAAAAAGTTTGTATAAATAGCATAAAGCTTGCCAGCTATTAAGTGAAATAAAATATTAAATATTTTATTAGGTTAATATGGCATGAATGTTTTTAATAGTTATTTTGACTATACATACATGATTTCTTTAAATAAATAATAATTATAATTCAAAAGTTTGTAAACCTGCATACTTTTTAAAATCTGAATACTTTTTAAAACCTGAAAGGGTTATTATCTTCTTAAAATAAAATCATTCATCGTATTTTTTTATAAGACAGATGTGTATTGCTATTATTTAAAAATGTTAACATTGTCAGCTTACATCTTAGTAATTTATCAATCAAGATAGAAAATTTTCATATTAAAAGAAAGAAAAAAATTTTAAGTTGACTTTAAACCTTCTTTCTCGTATAAAGCAATGTACTTAATAATTTATTATTCATGCTTCAATTTTCAGATGTGGGCTCTTTCCCCTAGCATATTCACCCTCCTTTCCTCCAACTTGTTGTTAATTGACCCTTGGATGAACAAGTACCAAGCTCAAGTGGTCTACACAATCCTGCATGCCTTTTATTCACACTGCAACAGGTAATTTGATCTTGTAAAAGCCCATTGGAGTTTAATATACTGTAAGTGTATTAAGTAACTATGCTATTTTACTTTATTCCTTTTTTGTGTTTTATTAAAACAAGGGTCTCAATCTGAAGCTGCTTGAAGGTCTTTTTGAGGGAACCCGAGGCATCTATATCCTATATTAAAATTATATTTTTGTATCTCTTATCAATATTTTTGGATCAATTACTGTGCCGATTGCAGAATGAACTCTATCTCAAGATTTACATTTTTTTATATTTGTTAAAAGACATGCTAACTTCATGTCAAGTAGTATACTGCTGTCACCGCCTGGTCAACTGGACATTACAAGACTTGCCACGATGAGCCAGGCCACAAACAAAAACTTGTCTGAAATTCTCAGGATTATTGTCACACTGCTAGATAGTGAAGAAACTGCTTTTGACTGCAGGTAGCACTTTTTGATTGAGTATTTCTTTATTGGTTAAAAATAAAATGATATGTGTTCCATACAATAACGCATTCTGTAGAATAAAGAGATATGTAAATTGATTCATTCAAATCCTTGTCCATTGAAGTTCAATCTTAAAATTGTGAGTCTTAAGCTTCATTAAAACTTGTATTGAAGTAGATTTCACATAGGAAACTGCTTTAGTTATATTAGCAATATATGTATATGATAATGTGATTTTTATTGGGATCAGATCTCAGTATACAAGAAAGGTTCCAATAATCTTTGTTGTGTTACTTATCAACAGTTATAAAAACTTAAGCTTTAGAAGTAAATATTATAAAATCAATTTTCTATAACATTAGGTGCCTCTTGATGAAGTGGACATCTGATATCATAGCTGGGTTAACTTCAACACCCAACGTCTACACAACACCAGCTCTGAGCAGTTTTATCAATTCAATCATCATGCAAGGTAACGAATCTTGTTGGTATTCACAGCATGATGAACTTTCTAAATTGTTTCATTTTAAAAAAAAAAACTTGAGGCTCCATATTATTTTAATGAATTAAGTTATTTTTTAAAATTCTATAAAGGATACCATAGAGAACAGCAGATTCTTCAGTGCTCAGCCCAGTGTCTCAAATCAATGTACAAAACTGCCACCAACTTTGCAGAGAGCACAACAAAAAAGTAAGTTGTTATTAAATACATTTTTTTTTTTATAGTAAAACTATTATTGCCATAGCGTCTTAAAAATGTTGGCGAATCTTCATTATCTGAATCTACAAACAACTACATTCACACGACACTGAGTAGTAGTGAGTATCGAGGACAGAGATTTAAGAGCACCGTTATTTGCAAAAGGCTGTTTTGCAAGGTGCTACTGTATATATTTAGGGCTCTAAATGTCTTGAAAATAGTTCTAAGATCTCTATATTGTTTACTATTTCTAGGTGTATGGAGCTATGTGTCTACAGGCTGAGTGATACTAGAAAGACAGTTCGAGAATCTTTCCTGTCTCTTCTTAAAATTTTGCCTCTTGACAAGATTCTGAAGTAAGCTGATTTATTCAAATCCATTTAAATTGTATACATTTTTGAAAAGTAATCACATTTTATTTTATTTTTTTTAAATTTTAAAAGAGAGAAATGAATGTGAATGAATGCTTGATTTATAATGCAAAAATATTATTTCAAGCTCAGAAAATGAATTATGTATATGATGCTTAACTATTAACGCTTAGTGTTCACTTTTTTCTACTACAGTATGGCTTTGTTTGAAGGAGAAGAGGAATGGATGTCCAGTGAACGTAAAAACAAAGAAGTGGGTTTGACTGCTGCTTGGCATGTTAGGAGAGCTCATATGGCCCATGCCCCGACAGGAAACTTCCATTCTCACAACTTCAGGCATATCATGGCATTCATACTGAATGGAACTCAGCAAAGGTAGGTATTTTTCATTTGGATATGGCATTAAGTATATCTTCTCTTACTTTTACTGTAGTCTGGTTATCCTACTGACCCGGATATAATTGATGTATAAGACCTTCAGAAAAAAATTGGTAATGCAAACAATTTTCTTTATTATCTATCTAATATGAAATTTAACATTTTTTAAGGCTTTCTCAAAATGATGACGGATTTATTTATTTGATGTTAATCAGTGCTTTGATTGAAATTTAGATTTTTAAAAAAATACTCTTTACCTAGTCAAAATGGCAGCTATCACTGGCTTGAGGCCATGTATCATGCAAAGCAGAGAAATGGAAAAAGCAAAATGCGCAGTGATTTATCTGTTAACCTCACTGATATTGTAAGTAGCTTGTATTTATTATGCTATAATTGTTGCTCTCTATTCTCAAGATATATTGCCTGAAATTTTATAAAATTTAGATTTAATTAAGAAAATTAATTAAAGAAATACATTTATTTTTTTTTATCTTTGTGAATTTTCCTTATTCCATCTACATTAGGAAATCTATAATTAATGGAGCAATAAAATCAAAGTTTGTTAAGATTTGGTGTCTGTTGTATCAGCATTTATTGTTTAAAATGATGAACTGTTACAGATTGACAACAACGAATCTTTGTTGTGGTTTTGGGCAACCTGGGAATGTGCTCAATTTGCCATTCTGTCCCGTTTGAGAACACCACTTGGCAAGGCTCCAGAAACATTCATGGCCATTGAGGGTGTGATTAAAGCGTTTGCTGCTGAATCCCAGAACTTTAACAATTTAGATGATGTTCAGGAGAAACGAGACAGTGTCAGAGGTAACTGAAATTTAAATTGGAAATATCTCCTTTCACACAAATATTTATTTGGCTCTAAGTGAAGCTAGTTATTGGGAAACTGAAATTAGTATAGATAACATGTCATTCTTGTCATAAAACACTACATTTTTTTCTAATTTTGTATGACAAAACTGTTGTGCGATGATTTTTAAATAGACTCTACTGATGGTATCTTAAATCTTATACTTATCCATTTTCCTATCTTTAAAGTGTGTTTTTTAATGGGCAGTTTTTGGCTGAAACTTATTTAGAAGCATAATTACCATATAGTATTACATATCATGGGAGAAATAAGTGTTAAAAATTCAACTTTAAGCTATTTATTTGCATTATATGTTCATGGGCTTCATCAATCTTTCAATAAGTAATATATTTAGGCATTTTTTTTATATAGCGCTTACCTTAAAGCTCTAAGCGCTTTACAATTATTAAAAACATGTAAACGAAGTAAAATAAAAAATGAGACACTAGGCTAGTAACTACTATACTATAGAAACAATTAAAATGGCTATAAAACAAGGACACTTTGGCACGTTTTTGCCTATAATACAGGATCAACCCGAGACAGAAAATGAGGCAGGGCAAGGAGGGTGCATCACAGGTCATAGGCGGACCTAAACAGATGGGTTTTAAGGGACTTTTTAAAAGTGGATGAGGTTTCACAATTACGGATATGGAAGGGGAGCTGGTTCCAGAACGAGGGCCCGTGGAAGTAGAAGGATTGAGAGGGTTCTATTGTCAATGGAAGAGCGTAGTTGTCTTGTGGGGATGTAAGGAAGCAACAGTTCAGAGAGATAGACAGGAAAGTGAGGGTCTGTGAAAGAGTTGAAGCATAGATTGGCATACTTGTACTTGATGCGAGAGGATATTGGAAGCCAGTGGAGTTGCTGCATGTGTGGTTGAATGTGGTCATGTCTCTTTGATTTAAAAATGAGTCTGCAAGCTGAGTTCTGTGCTTGAAGTTTGTCTATGTGGTGTTGAGGAATGCCTGCGAGAAGAGTGTTACAGTAGTCAAATTTTGAAAGAATGAGTGAAGAGATGAGAGTTTTTGTAGCATCAAAGGAGAGGAGGTGTCTAATGGTACTGATTTTTCTAATTTCGTTGTATGCTGATCTACATATATTCGTGACATGTTTGTCCATGGAGAGTGTGTCTGTAAGCGTGACTCCAAGGTTTCTGGCAGAGGAAGAGAGTGTGATGTCAGAGTTGCCAATAGATATAGAAGAAGGAGCGGATGGAGGGAGAGGTTTGTTTTGAGAGTGGATGAGAAGGATTTCCGTTTTATCATCATTTAGCTTCAGTTTGTTGCAAGTCATCCAGCGCTTTACGTCGTCCACGCACTCCTGTATGCGAAGGATTGTGGCATCAAGTTGATCAGGAAAGCAAGAGTCACTGATTTGATTGTCATCAGCAAAGGATTGACTGGAAACTGAGTGGTGGTTAATGAGAGATGATAGAGGTTTAGTGTAGAGGATGAAAAGGACCGGTCCAAGGACCGATCCTTGAGGAACTCCAATAGACAGGGCTGAAGGTTTGGAAGAGCGGTTGGAAATAAAGACTGTTTGAGTTCTGTCAGAAAGATATGATTGAAACCAGTTTAAAGCTGAGCCAGTAAGTCCGAAAGAAAGTTGAAGGCAGTCAAGAAGAATCTGGTGGTCAATGGTATCAAATGCACCAGAGAGATCTAACAGAGTGAGAATAGAGAGTTTGCCATTGTCCATCGCGCACAGGAGGTCGCTCATGACTCGGACCAGTGTTGTTTCTGTGCTATGACCAAGTCGGTAGGCGGACTGGGAGGAAGGATAGAGATTGCGAGAGTGAACATAGTCAGAGAGCTGAGAGAGTATGAGTTTTTCTATGATTTTTGAGAGAAAGGAGAGGTTGCTGACGGGGCGGTAATTCTTGAGTGTGTTTGGATCAAGTGAGGGTTTCTTTAGGAGTGGCAGGACTATTGACCGCTTAAAAATGGGAGGGAAGATGCCAGAGAGAATCGAAGAATTTATGATGGAGGTGAGTGCTGGTAGGAGGACGTCAAGGCATTCTACAAGCAGTGGGACGGGGATCGGATCGAGGGCACAAGACTTGGGAGCAGACCTGATGATGACTCGCCTCACCTCATCCTCAGTCACAGGCATGAATCTATCAAATGAATTCTGTCTGACTAACGTCCTCCGAGAACGGTGAAAAAATATATACTGATGTCTATACTACCAAATCTACTTGACACACTCCCATTCCACTCTAATTGTATGGCATCTTTCCGTCTGCTGGTGACGATAGATTATCTTTATTGCTTGCAGCTCTTGGTGTGGTTGGTGAGACCAATCCTCGAATGGCAGTCTCTGTTGCATTTCCCACACACGAATGCGGTGGAGCAGTATTTACCGGGCTTCCTCCTTGCTCTTTTTGCAGCTGTTTCCGCCCTGTTTTGCTCCTCGGCATGTAGTGATCCTGCCTTCATTATGCCCCGCCATGAGGATCGATTCGCTGCCAGCTCCTCCCAGTTTGAGTTGTCGATGTTGGCTGACTTCATGTCTCTTTTGCATATGTCTAAGTATCTCAGACAAGGCTGTCCAACTGACCTTTTCTCTGTCGCCAGCTTGCTGTATAGCACGTCCTTTGGTATGCGACCAGGTTGCATTCGCTTGACGTGTCCAAGCCAGCGGAGGCGTCTTTGGATTAGCATGGCTGGGACGCTACACATGTTTGTTTGGGACAGGACATCCGTGTTGGGGACTTTGTCTTGCCATTTAATGTCAAGGATGTGGCGCAGGCATCTGAGGTGGAAGCCATTGAGCCTTCTTTCGTGGTTAGAGTATGTGGTCCACGACTCGCATCCATACAGGAGTGTGCTCAGTACGCAGGCCTGGTACACCTGCAGCTTAGTTCTTGTTGTGAGTTTGGCGTTTTACCAGACTCTTTTCTTAAGTCTGGCCATAAAAGTTGCGGCCTTCTCTATCCTTCCACTTATCTCATCCTCCATTGAGAGGGTGCTTGATATGTTGGATCCAGTATCCAAGTCGTAGTCGTCGATGGCGATAGTGGGGAGGGAGTCAGCGCCCTGTGCCATAATGTTAGTTTTCTTTAGGCTAATTGTCAGGCCAAAATCTTTGCAGGCAGCAGATAGGCTGGGTACGAGGCTCTGCAGGCTGTCTGCTGTGTGAGATACCTAAGCGGCATCGTCCGCAAACAAGAACTCCCGCAGCAAGACCTTTCTTGTTTTAGCTCTAAGGCGGGCAATGTTGAATAATTTGCTGTCAGCTCTAGCTCTGTTGTTCTTAAAGGCATACTGGAGTAGGTTGGAGAAAAAGATTGCAAATAAAGTAGGAGCCAGCACGCAACCTTGCTTTACTCCACTACCCACTGGAAAAGCTTCTGAGGCGGCACCGTTATAGCACACTGTGCCCTGCATGTTTTTGTGGAACTGCTTGATGGTGTTAAGCAGTCGTGTAGGGCAGCCTATCTTTTTGAGGATCTGAAACAGGCCGCTTCTGCTGACAAGATCAAAAGCCTTAGTGAGGTCGACAAACGCAATGTATAAAGGCATATGTTGCTCCCTGCATTTCTCCTGCAGCTGGCGTAGAGAGAAGATCATGTCTATGGTTGACCTACCGGCGCGAAAACCACATTGCGATTCTGGGAGTACACGCGATGCTAGGGATTAATATTGTTATACATGAGAAAATAAGGTAATTTTACAAATTCTGAATAAATTTAAATTATGTTATTTTAATTCTATTAGGAGAGAAAGTTGGTGAGTTCGTCTGTCTGCAACGAGTCCACCTGCTGATGAACTTTATGGAACATCTTGACAAACTTCTTTATAATGCTTATGAAGGTTGTTCTGTTGCCATGCCCAGTGTTCACAAGGTAAGATACAAGCTGAAATTTCATTGAAATTTTATTTTAGTATAATTTTAATGGTCAAATTACAACAGTAATTAATAAAAAAAAATCATGCCCATATTTTTTGTAATAAAACGTCATGATATACCACTAAGAAATACATGTGTAGTAAAGATAAAGTGCCTGGCACGAATATTTTCCAGAGTGCTTTGTTTGAGCAAGATTAGTACACGTTTCATCTCGAGACTCAGCACTTATCTGTAGTATCTTTATGTTATTAAACAAGAAATGGAAAGGGATTGGGGGAGTCTCAGAATTTTATTTATAAAATATTCTGAGGATTTAATTTTATTAATGTTTTTTATCACTCTCAGGTAGTCAAGACATTTTTCCGAACAAACCGCAACACCTGCCAAGAATGGTTATCTAGAATACGCATGGCCCTTCTCACCATATCCACCCACTGTGGCATGTGGGCAATGGCTGTACGTCAGGCTTATGAATTACTGAGAGATCTAGAGGATGCAGGGACAACACAGGTAAGTTTGAAACACCAGCCTGTAAATTAAATGTTAAATGTTAGATGTTAAATGATCAATACATTTCTTTATTATGGGTTTTAAAGATGATTATGGGTTGTTGGTTAATATGCAGTAATGATCAAATTTCATTAATTATTTTTATTTAGCCAAACCATAATTAATAATAACACAAAAATAATTTTAAAGTAATGAAATTTCTACTATAGGCCCTATTCATAAAATTCTTGTATTGAAAAATAGAGTCTAAAGTTGAAAGTTTATTTTTTTCTTCGTGAAGTAACACAAAGCAATGCATTTTCCTGAGAAATAAAAGTGCAGAAATCACGGGTTCATCTCAGAAATTCTCCCCCCTTAACAAATATTTAATACCTAATATGAACTTGGGGATAAAACCAATAATAGTTTTGTTACATACCGTTATAAGGCTTTAAAAATGTATTCCTTTTAAAGATTTGGCTTGTTAGAAGAACACCACATAAAAAAAGACAAACCAGTGTACTAAGAAAATGATACCTAAGCTAGTCAGATTTTCAATACTCAAATTTATTTAAACTAACATATCTGATATCATAACTACCAATTAAAATAAATAGAAAAAGAGAAAAGGAAAAAAAAAAAATCACTTATAGCACATGTTCTAGTAATAAAAGATGGAAAAAATAATCCACACACTTAGTGACAATATTAATCCATAGAAGTAATATGAAAAGTAAAAAATATTAATCCATACAAGTAATAGGAATGGTGAAACTATAATCCACACAAGTAGTAAAGGTGAAAATATTTATACACATGCTCACAGTGCTGTACCAACCCCACCCCACCTTTGATTGGGAAAAGGTCATTGATAATCTATTTGTTCTAAAGAATGCTGTTGGTCATAAGACTTCTAGAATTTCTTCTCTGGAGTGTTTTAACTTTCTCCCTATACTATAAATAAGGTGGCAGCTTTCTGAGCCATGAGAGATTGTTGCTATTTTTCCTAGACACTTACAGAGCATAATATACTTACAATATTGTACTCTTTAGATTCAATTTTAAACAGATTAAATTTACAAAAACCATATAACGGTACGTAAGAATATGTATATAAAAAGGAATGTAACTCTTTTAGATGTAATTTAATTTAAAAATTAATTTAAATCTAAGGCTTTTTTTTTTTTTAAATACCAAATGAAAAAATGTTGGTTGGTCCAAGCTTGGTCTGAGGCATATTCAAAGTCAATTCAGTGTTAACCTGAATATTTTCCAGAGTGCAGTGTTTGAGCAAGCCCTTGTGTACCTGGTGCAGGCCTTGTGTGAACTGAATGCCCCTGAGAGTATTGTTGGACTCTATCAGATATTCAAAGATTCCACCGGGAGGTCCATGACCTGGATTCTTGCTGCTGCAGAGAAAGCCAACAAGAGGTATAGTTGTACTGTGCTTTCAATGGAATTATTTATTTGCTTATAATTAATTGACACTACTCAGTTTAAACTAAGAGATTACAATCCTATATAATGCATCAGTAATTATCTAGATTTTAAAATAGTTTTTTTTTTTTAAATAATAATTATTGTGCATGTTATTTTTTATAGGTATGAAAAAGCAGCCACAGAATTCCAGAGCTCTATGACAGCATTGATGTTGGGTGAAAGCAGTGACATGGGTGAGGACCTTGATTCTTTACACTCGCCCAGAGGAAGTCCCAGGCACAAAGAGAACCCTAAGTTTACAGGACTGAACAGTGGAAAAGCTAACAAATCATTCCTACCTGCTACTGTGAATTTTGTAGCAAATCAGGTACAATGTAATAATTTTAATTATTGTTGATTTGATGCTTCAAGATGATCGGCTGAAAAATAATACTTTAAAGTGTGTTTTATTGGATCTGTATTGTAACAGGAAAGTGCATTTTTCTCTGCTTCATGTCCCAATGAATCTTGCCTGTAATACAGCGGTTCTCAACCTGTGGGTCACGACCCTTTTCCAGGGGTCGCCTAAGACCATCTGAAAATACATTTACTAACAGTTACGAAGTACGAGCGAAAAAAAATTGTGTGGCTGGGGGTCGCCGCGACATGAGAAACTGCCTTAAAGGGTCGCGGCATTATGAAGGTTGAGAACCACTGCTGTAATAGCTTCAAAACTCTCAATGTTGGTGTGGGGGGGGAATGTGTAAATATAGTAGAGAAATAAGTCAAAATCAAATAGTTATCAAAACATTTTAGCTGAGCACATCAGGTGTTATAATAAACTAAACATAAAACTTCAATGTTGGGTAGGTGACTGACTGCTATATGAGACTGTGTGATTGGGCATCCATTGTTCAGTGGCAAGAGTCTATGGCTCAGAAGCATCAACAATGGCAGGCAGATGGAACAACCACAGGAGGCATCATCAAGTTCACTGTGGATATCAATTATATTAAGTATGTTTCCTTTTCTAAAAAGCTAATACATAGATCACTCATTTAAATGTTGTGGGCTTTACACACAGCTGTACTTGGAATTCCGTTAGAAAATGAATCCGTGTGGACTTTTTAAGTATTGAAAGTAGTTATCCTCCTTTTACAAGTAAAACATTGTGTAACGTGTTGGCCTAACAGGGCATGGCGATAAACTTGTCAGTATCAATATACCACAGGTAATAATAATAAGTCCCCAATGAAATCCACAGAGCTCTATCTGACTTTGAAAAAGGAAATCTGGAAGGCATTAAACAAAACCTGGAGCTCATCCCTGGAATGAGCCTGACAGAGAACAGCTGTCAGCGTCCAGAGGGATGTGGGGGCCTCTCAAGCTGGGATATCAGAAGAGAGGAAGACCAGCTCCACCGGATGTTCATTAAGGCCTCAACTCAGTTGATGGAACAGACGGATACACTGTACAGGTAAGCCATGAAGCCCAATGAACAGTGTAGGTCATCATTGTCTTTTTTTCAGGTTTTCCCCTACTTTGTACTACTTGTGCCCTTTTTCTGATCTGATCGCAGTTGTCTTTTTCCAAGCCCCGGTTATCTTTTTTAATGATTAGAGAAGCATTCTTGTCCCAGATGGGAAATTTTGATTATGTTATATGCATGATATTACATTACAATCTACCAGCAGCTAATTGATCAGTTTTATTATTTTATATCTCTAAAATATATGGATTTATAAATAATATAAAAAAAAAAAAAAAAAAAAAAAATATGTTTCTGGAAAATAGAATGTGATTTTCTGATAAATGTGTTATATTTAGAACTGATACAGTCAGATGCATTCAGCAAGCAGAGAGGCTTGGTGATGGTTTGTTGAAAGTTTGTGCCATGGACTGGCCACCAGCTCTTCTCCCTGATTGTCTCACCCAATTGGCCTCCCTTGTTGCCCTCAGAAAACAACTGGATGCTCGTCAGAACACGGTGAGTTGTTTGTTTTGATCATTCTCTACATGATCATTGGAGTTATATTAGACATACATCTTAAAAGTCTTAATGTTGTTCCTAGGATATTTGAAGTATTTAATTTAACTTTAATGAATGTGAGATTTGGTTTATCTCTTTAGTTTCGGTGAGTTGTTTGTTTTGATGATTCTCTGTATGATCATTGGAGTTTTGTTAGACATACATGATGAAAGTCTTAATGTTGTTCCCAGGATATTTTAAGTATTTAATTTTACTTTAATGAATGTGAGATTCGGTTTATCTCTTTAGTTACAAATTGTTATAAAGATATTATCAAGGAATAATTAAGTTACTATATAAAATATGACGCCCATTTTTGAAAATTTGAATTGTTTTTAATCGAAGTTATTGATGGATCCACAGACTAGCCTCATTCCACTTTCAACATGCCTAGACCCAGGAGTTGAGGATGATCTCAGTGTATATAACCAACTGATAAGGACTATTAACTTACAGCAAAGGTTGTTGGTCTGTGATAAATATACTGGTAAGAATAAATGAGACCATGCATCTTGTACTATAGCTTATTTTCAACTCAAAATTTAAATCATTGAAAAGCGAGGCAATTTTATTTCCAAAATCAGTTATATTCCTATCAAAAATATATCACATTCATAAACATTTGACGCAAATCAATGCTTTTAATAATTAAATATTTTACTTTATTGCTTTTGTTAATTTGTTAAGAAAAGTTAAGTAATTTTCCAAAGCTTAGATAAAAAGATAACTCTGGATGCCTAATTTCTTTTCCTTTTTAGAACTCAGAGAACAGCTTTCAAACATACATTTGGCAGCTGCCACAGCAGCCAGAAAACAGCTGAATGTGGCTACCGCTGAAGAAATTCTACTGAGACAAGCTGGCTCAATTCTCAGCACCCAGCCAGAATCTCTCCTCACAGCCATGACGAGCATCAGGTCTAGAGCTATTGCGGGATGTTCCATGCAAAAGGAAATGCTGAAAATGCAGGTAAACAAAAGTATTATTGATTAATAAAATTGCTATCAAATTAACTTAAGTCTAGAACTGCCTCTCCCAACATTTTGGTCACATACCCTTTCAGAAGACATTTTCTTTCTGCGTAACCCGAACTCTTAACATCAGAAACTTGTTTTTTTCAAACAAGTTAATTAAAATGTAGATATATCCACAATTTAAAAAAAAAAATTTTTTACTAGAAAACATTGATCCTAACAGTTCACTTTTATTTTGTTAAAAGAAAGCATACACAATTCAAAGTGGAACAGAAATTAAATACCCATTTTGGCTAGTGACTTATGTAAATCAATCAGTCCATTCCAAAAGCCATTTAGTGATATAGCTTCAAATTCTGTTTTTATAACAGAGGTGCATAGATGTTCATACTAAAGTAGAGACAACAACAGATGTTTATTTTGGTTGACAAAGAGGTTTTGCACCCAATCTGTCTCTAGAAAGTACTCATGAATTTCTCAGGGTTTCTTTTCCAAGTGCTTTTTTTTTTTTTTTTTTTAATTAAATTTTTTTAGGATTATACCTTGTAGTTATACCTTGTTGTTTTTTTTTGTTTTTTTTCTAAGTGTTTTTTTTTTTTTTTTTTTAATTAAACTGTGTCAGGATTATACCTTGTAGTTATACCTTGTAGTTTTCACATTGACACATTGAATCCAAAAGTTAGAGCTGGTTTTCTATGGTGATATTGTATTACTCAGTGTGAATGTGGTTGTATATTTCAAGTACAAAGATGTAGAAAATTTAATTTGATTTTGGAGATTTTATTTGAAACCTCTATAAAGCTTTTGGGGACCTAAGGGCTCTGCAGAACACAGTTGGCGTACTGCTGGTTCTTTGAAAAGAAATAAGAAGGAAAGGAAATGAAACCTGTTTTAAAATTTTGCTATTTCAGAGAGAAGGGGCTAAACTCCTTAGAACAATAGGCAAACAGCGGAGTTCTCTTGATGTGCTAGCTGGCAGTGTTATTGCTTCCAGTTGGCCAACAGATGGAACATCTAGCTGGACCCTGGAAACAGACTGTGCTCAGTTGAATGCAAAGTCTTTATTGACATTGGTTAAGTGGTTGCAAGTATGTACATAATATCTACCAATCATGAAGATCAAAATTTCTTTTAAAATAAAATTAATTGCTAAGTATTAGTAGGCAAAGTTGGTAATGAAGCTCCATAAATTAGTATCAACAAAACAGATAGTGCAGTAACTATTTAATTTACCAAACTGATTATGAAGTGACTTTATTTAATTTACAAAACATTGTTGTCAATGATTTTTAAAAAAATGTCCTTCACCTTGAAATAATATTCATAATTTAGTAACATATGAGTATCATTTGTTAACTTTAAAGCTTTTAACTTAAGCCAAAACCATGTTAACTTTCAAATTTACTCAACAGGCTGACCCCAAATTGTTGAGTTCATTAACAACTCAGATTGCTCAGTTTGGTCAGAATAATGATTCAGTCCCTCCATCTTCCCTTGTATCTCATCTGAGCAGTCTCCTAGACTTAGAGAAAATTGCTGTCAGCTTGGGTCAGGCTAGTCTTCTTGAATCTGGTAACTAATTTTTCCTGAATGGGTTTTAAAATATATATTTTTTAAAATTTCACTTCTGATTTACTTAGAAGGCATCTTTATTTTTTTTTTAGTGGCAAGTATTTCTGAAATAAGAAAATTAAATAAACTTAATGTATTTCATAAAATGACATTTAAATTTGGTCAATTCCTTCTTTATTGGGTTTCTATGTGTAATATTTATCTATAAAAATATACATGGCCTGCGTAAAAGCATGCATTTTTTAAACATATTTGGGTCATACATTTTTTTTTTCAAAAGTATAACTCATTTATTTATGTTCCTATGTGGTTTCTTAAAGCAGCTATTTGTAAATGTATGTTTATGTGTCACCAACATTTATATATGATTCTTTTATTTAGGCACATCCATTGGAGATAATGCAATGTTGCCAGACACAGAAGGTATTATTGGCCGCCTGCTACATCTTAGCAGTGTGCAGAGCCCCATTCTGGCCAAGTCCTGGTTTACACTTGCTGGATGGTGTTACAAATGGGGACGGAAAGCTGTGGATAATGCCAGGTATGCTAATTATAAGTCTGATCAGAAGTCTTAATTTGGTAATGTTGTATATTTTTCGATTTATTATGGTTAGTAAACTACCACCTCTTTTCGCCATATATGATAATTGAAATATTAGTTTCTCCTTATCATAAAGTTTGCTCTACCTTGTATTATCTTTCTTTTTTTTTATCTAAGTGTTTCAGACTTAAGAAACTTAATGATTTTTGCTCATGATATATTGTCTCATTTATAATTTATATTATTTGCTATTCATTCAGCAATGGCTATGTCAAGCTGACTGAGGATGAAGAGGCTCAAGTGCTCAACATTTTACCTAAGGTTAGAGTTTGAAATTCATTTATCACAGAAGCTGACATGACAACAATCTTCTTGTCAAAATAACTTTATGCTGTCTTTTCACTTTCAGTAAATAAGTTTTTCCAAGTTTACCTAATTCAGCTTTTGAAATCAGTTACACACCTACATGATTCAAATTTAAAGGCGAAATAACATGGAACTATTGTTTGATCATTATTAACATAGATAACATTTCTAAATTTCAACCAGGGTACTTCAAAGGAAGAAAGGGAAAAAGTTCTGTCTGTGTTGAGTCAGATTCATAACATGGAATCCAGTGAGGAGGATATCATTGATGAGGATCAGGTCAGGAGCCTTTTTTTTACCCATTGTCAAGTTTTCAGTGTAAACCAATAAAATGTTTTCCTCTTTAAAAAGGAAGCAATAAAAGAAATTGTAAAAAGAAGAGAGAAAAACATCAGTACATATGACGCTGAACATTGTAAACATCATTATACAAATTTAAGATACAAATTGTCTTGAAGGCTCATGTCTCTGCTGTGTTTTTCCATGGGGACATTTACATATCATTTATGTGAGAAAACTTATCAGCTCAATTAAGTTTATACTTATTATATTAAAAGACAAAAACATCATTACCTGCTTACCTTGTCAGAGCATGTATGATGATGGAACTGAGACCACAAGGAAACAACTGCTGGCCTGTTCACTTTCACTGGTTGGGGCTCCAGACTTGTGTGTGGAAAAATTGCTGGTAGTTTGGAGAGGTGTTGTCAAGAGAGTCTACCACTATTACCAGCTGTCTGCTAAAGCTTATTTCACTTATCTCCATGTCAATGGACTGGTAAGATCAATTTGATTTGTACACTGTGAGATTTTTTTTCTGAAAAGAATAAGTAAAAATAAAATTTCCCTACTAAGTTTTAAATGAATCGAGTAAAATGCATATTTTTGGATTCTCGCAAAAATTACATTTTTAATTAAAATTTCATTTATTCCTTAGAGTGACAATGTTGACAACAAAGGAGGCAACATCATTTCAACTCTGAGGTTGCTGCGACTCTTAGTCAAACATGCCTCTGAACTTAGAGAGGTCTTGGAGACTGGCCTTTCACAGACCCCGACTTCACCATGGAAAGGTAGATTTTAAAAATAAATGACTAGTGTCTATGCAGAAGTTTGGAATCTAGCTAATCAGCTGTTTCATATCATGAACTCTGGAAGTGGTAAATGCAAATGCTTATTAAGGATGTTAAACCATATTCAAATTTCTATTTCTTTCTTAGTTGATATCCATCTAAGACAAATTTTATTGTGATTTTAAACAATTATTTCCAATGTAAATATCAATTTGGTATTGTTTAATATTTTTCAATTTAGAAATATTAATTAATTTTAAAAAAAGCTTTTTTTTTTCCCAGGAATTATTCCCCAGTTGTTCTCACGTTTGAGCCACCCAGAAAGTTATGTTAGACAAAGTATATCTGAATTGCTGTGCCGCATAGCTTTAGATGCACCACATCTGATAGTATATCCTGCTGTTGTTGGAAGTTCTTCAAAAATTCAAGTTAAAATACCAGTACAGAAAGGTATATTTTTTTTTAAATTTCAATATTTTGATAAATTGTTAAATTTGAAAAAGATTACTCGGCATGGCTACTAAATAATACAAGCTAGTTAAAGAAAAATGCTAATTTTCTTTCATCTGAAAAAACATGAAACCAATTAAATACATTTTCATGCCTAACATGTTTGTAGTTGATTGTTAAATAGAAAATGTGATAGCACTTACATAATATTAATATGCAATTAAAGATAAGGATTTTTAATTTTTTTTTGCATCTTATAAGGATTTCTGAAACCATTCTTGTCACAAGAAGAGTGTCAGGAAGATGATGATTTGGTTCCTGAGTTAGAAGATCCAGTTTGTGTTGTGGATGATGAGGAAATCGATGAAGGCTCCAGCCCTGAACTTCAGGCTTGCCTGTCTTCCATTGTAGAAACTTTGTCAAAACTTAACCCACAGTAAGCTAAAAGTTTACATCTGAAATGAAAAGTATTTCTACTATACAAAAGCTAGATGAAGATGGTTTATTTTTCTAATCAAACTTATGGTCCTGATACCATTTAAACAGTAAAGAAATTATGAAACTGAAAAAGAAAAATTTAAAAAGAAATGTTCAGAAATTAAAATTTTCTCTTGGGAAATTAATAAAATTTGTTAAATTTTAACCATTGGAAAAAAAAGCCTCACACATTTAATGTCTGCCTTAATCCCTTTAGAATGATTGCGGAGGTTCAACTGATGGTCCAGGAGCTGCGTCGTATCACACTGCTGTGGGAAGAACTGTGGCTGGGAACACTGAACCAGCACCAGGCTGATGTGCACAAGAGGCTGGCACAACTTGACGCTGAAATTAAAAGAGTTGAGGCCAACAAGTCTCTGTCAAAAGCCATGAAGACAACCGTTATAAAAGAGAAACACAGGACCATCATGAAGCCGGTAAGATTTATGTCAGAGTGGATGATGATCATGGGTTAAAACACAGAGAGTTATATAGAGTGAGGGGAAGAGCATTTTACGAGCAGTTTGAATTAGAGTGGAAATACAAACAAATTTAAATTCCAGGTTTTATAACATCTGTTAAATATGTGAGTGATAAACCTTCAGATGGAAACAAGAACATCGACCCATTGAAATGGAAAATTCAATTCAAAACATCACTTCATTTATAAAATTAAGGATTTTTTGTAAATAAGTGCAATTTTTGTTAAGTTCTGAACTTGAATGAAACTCTGTTATTGTCCCTTCAAGACATTGTACACCATGGAGCATCTCAATGAGATTACATCACAACCAGCGCAGACTCCCCAAGAGAAAAGTTTTCAGTTTTCTTATGGTAAACAAATCAATGCAGCTTTGCAGAGACTGCGTGAGCCTCCAGATCCATCAAATCCTCAGGATACCTGGAGTCTATTCAAATGTGTAAGTTTAGGTGTCAGTGCAGTGCATGCAGGGAATAAAAACATGGTGTTATAAACATTTATTTAGTGTTTGAAATTAATGAATACTGAATATCTTTTAAAAACTAGGTTAATTTCTGCACTACCATCCAACAAAAATAACTAATCAAAATTAGTCTGGCTGCAAGGGATTTTTGTAGTCATGGTCAATGAATTAAATTTGCTGTATAGTTAACAATTCTCTAATTCTTGTTTAAAATTCCCAAATCCTAACCAAGCTCCATGCAGACACTCCAATTAAACTAAATGCCAGAAGAGGGTAGTCATTAAAAACAAAATTCACAATAGAATTTTAGGATAATGTATCAAAAGTTCCTATTTGCAGCACAACAAATTAGTTGTTCTTATTTTCCAGATCCATCATAGTCTCCAGCAACGTGCACAGAAGAGAAACAGTTTGCAACTAAAGATGGAAGACATTAGTCCAAAACTGGCTGCCTTAACTAATTCTGTCATTCCTATGCCAGGCTTGACTTCTGCAGGAAAGGTAGAATACATTTAACTCATAAGTGCATATAAACAGTAGTAGCCTAAACTGTTTTATTTTTACCTCATTGGTATATCGTAGTTGTATGTATTCATTTTATATTTTTGCCTCATTGGTATATCATAGTTGTATATATTCATTTTATAATTTTTCCTCACTGGTATATCATAGTTGTATATATTCATTTTATATTTTTGCCTCATTGGTTAATCATAGTTTTTTAAATTCATTTTATATTTTTGGTTTTGTGGCATATCATAGCTGTGGATATTCATATCAATATTTTTCTAGATTATAACAATTGCTGCTGTGCACAGTACAACACAGATTTTGCCTACAAAAACTAAACCCAAGAAGCTCATCTTTGTTGGCTCTGATGGAAAAAAGTGAGTTTCTATTTGTATCGCTTTTCTGTTTCCTTAGTTCCTGGAGCATGTTAACTATTACAATTAGGAAGCAAAAAATATCTTCATTTCCTTAAAATTTTAGACTGATATTATTTGTTATTATTTTCTTCTTTTTTTTAGACACCCCTATCTGTTTAAAGGACTTGAAGATTTGCACCTTGATGAACGTATTATGCAATTCCTCTCCATTGTCAACACCATGTTTACACACCACAAAAGGTAAAGTGAATTGACATTGCTGATTAAGATTATGATTTAAAAATTTTGTTCTTGAAAAAAAAAAGAGACTAAAATATTTTATCATAATGTAAGAAATTAGTAACCTTTATTTTTTTAAAAATTGTATGCTTAACCCAAACATTTACTATTTAATATTAGGGGCTATGAAAGCAGACATTTGTACAGAGCAAGACACTACTCTGTGACACCTCTTGGCCCTCGGTCAGGTCTGATTCAGTGGGTGGAAGGAGCCACTGCCTTGTTCAGCTTGTACAAAAAATGGCAACAGCGTGAAGCATTGGCCCAAGCCCTCAAACCTATGAACAGTGCAAATGCTGTTCAACCAGTTATGCCAAACATCCCCAGACCAAGTGAAGTTTTCTTTAATAAACTGACTCCGGCTCTCAAAGAAAAGGTTAGACATTATTTCATTTCAATTTTTTTGTGGTCCATTTTTAATAATACTGCAGTCTAATAAGTAATAATTATTTTGGGAGTTAAAATTTCAGTATATAATCCAGCCTTACCAGTTGATAAGATTATCCTTGAATTGGCCTGATCCTTATAAAATCATTCTCCCATCAACCAACCTTCACCAAACTGTGAATATTCTCAGTTATTTCAAATGTCTACTTCAGGGTATTGATAATGTTGACAACAGAAAAGAGTGGCCACTGAGTGTGCTTCGTAAAGTTCTAGATGACCTCATGGATGAAACACCAGATGATCTGTTGTCCAAGTACGCTCTCTTAATTAAACATTTTCAGCATTTATATATATCGCCATTATCCAATATAAGCTTAGAAGAAATTTATTTACATCCTTTCACATTTAATTTATAACTATGTTAGTAACATTTTAATAAATATATTTGTTTCTCTCCAGAGAAATTTGGTGCTGCAGCTCAGGAGCTGGAGAATGGTGGCAGGTGACCCAGTCTTATGCTAGGTCAACTGCTGTCATGTCCATGATTGGGTACATCATTGGCTTGGGGGACAGACATCTAGACAATGTCTTAGTTGATCTTGCTACTGGCGAGGTAGGCTGTCATGCATTCTGTCATTCATTTTGTTCAGGCACATCACACGGTTCATTTCTAGAGTTCAGTAGACACTAGCGGTTAAGATTATTAAATTGCCACATGTTAGGTCTATCAGTTTCAGATTGGTAAAATTACGATATGTAAATATTAAAGATCAGACAGTGAATTGTGTTTAATATGATTAGAAGTAACTCACAATAAAACCATTAGAAAGGTTAGACAGGTAATTAGCATGCAGCCTATGCAGCCTATGTGAATATAGTACTGATTATGAAGATCTTTCCATTTTGTTTATTAACTCTGCATTCTCCATTCACCTAGGTGGTTCACATTGATTACAATGTTTGCTTTGAGAAAGGCAAAGGTTTGAGAGTACCTGAGAGGGTTCCATTCAGAATGACGGCCAATATAGAGACAGCTCTAGGACTTACTGGAGTTGAAGTGAGTTTATACTAATAAAGCTTTAAATAGCAATGGAATCAACTGTTGGTCAATATTCTGTTGTAAATGATGAAAGTATAATTTTATACAAAATAAGAATATATAATGGCTTGAAAGCTAAGACTTCTTTTTCATCTGACCAGGGCACATTCAGAGTTTCCTCTGAACATGTGATGAAAACGATGCGAAAAGGGAGAGAGTCTCTTTTGACCCTTCTTGAGGCTTTTGTCTATGACCCTCTGGTTGATTGGACCACTGGAGGGGATGGAGGCTACACAGGGGCATTCTATGGAGGAGAAATGGGTCAAGCTGGTGGTCCAGGAGGGGACAACAGACAGAGCAAACAACAGATGGAGCGTGACATTACAACAAGCATGTTCTCTATTCGACTCACAGAAATGGAATCAGCTTGGGCAAAAAATAAGTAAGACTTTTTGCAGTTTGTTAACCCATGAACTGTGGTCGGCCAAAAAAATCGGCCGGAATTATAGCCACTTCCTTTTATTAATAATTAAATCATCTTCCGGTTCAAGCTGTTTCGTGGTAATGTGAAAATAAATACTTTTTAATCCTAGTTTTATATCGCTGTTTTTTTTAAAGCTAAAATGGATGACGCTATGGCTGGGCCTTCAGTGCAAGAACTAATAGAAATATGTTTGAAAGCTTTTTAGGAGAGGTTTTAAGTGATACTGATGTTGATTATAACATTTTTCATGACAATATCAGTTGAGATTATTCTTTTCGTGAATTTTATACTAGTCTTAGTGATATTGAAGTAGGCCTACTGAGGCTACTGTTAGACTTCGAGCCAGGCCCGGAGGTTGGGCAAGAACTGACTGAATTTTAGTCACAGAATCTACAGATTATAGTTTATAACTAATAAGTTTTATAGTTAAACAAACCAAATCAGTTCCTCAGTTCCTTTTTAAATGTTTACTAGTCAATAATAACTATTTTGCCTGAGATTTTTTATTTTGTACTTGGTTTTAGCAGTGGTCCCAAGTTTCTTATATAAATGACCTAAAATTACTAAAATTGCTTTCAGAGGTTTAATTGCAATCAAAACCTTAGCAAACTATACATTTTGAGAAAGATAAATGAATTGGCTACAACATTTAAATTTGTGTTTTAAGTGTATCTATAAAAATTAATGATGTTATGAGCACTTGAATGCAAGACATTTTGTCGATTTTTTTTTTCTCAAGAACTCCAAGGTCAAGGATACTGAGCAAAAAATTTTTACGGGGTGGGCAATACAGCCAACTTTAACCCCATCCATTTACCTTTCTAAAAATATATACTTATTGGGGTATTGTATCAATGTTTCTATGTCATTTAATGCAATTTCAAATGGCACTCAAAACGCTCTGAAAAGCTCCACACCACAGAATAATGCATGCCACAGTTCGTGGGTTAAATACCTTGGAAATTGTTTTTGTATTTTTGTCACTTTTGTATTTATATAAAATTGCTAATGTGTTTAGGAAATCACCACCATATAATGTTCTATTTATCTTCCGCAATTTTTGGCTTGCTTAAATTTTGTATACCTTACATACTGCTAATTGTATTGAGGCTGAAATAAGAGAAATTCTTATGATGGTATTCTCAGGTCTGACTTGCTTTCGAGTCTGCCAGTTTTGGCATCAGGTGTCCAGGATTGGATGAAAACCTCTGACAAACTGGAGGAGGCAGCAGCAGGCATGGAGGGCCTTCATGTTATTCAGCAGACTTTGTTGGATGCCCAGAGTGAGCCTCATCACACCATTTCTACACTTTCCGACAGGTGAGCTCTTACTGGGACAGTTTACATTGATTTTATTTAATGTTTGTTTTGGGTATGACCACTTTGAAAAAAATGAATGATTTTTGGCGGAGAAAAGAGTGTAGATTGGTTCTGCTTTCATATCATCGGTCAGTGGCTCAGCTTACTGGAATTGAGCTTAGACACAACAAATGGGATTTTTGAACCAACATGAATTGAAAACACCTTACATACCCTATAGTCTGCATACACTTACATTAGTTTTGTTTGCTGTGTGATTGTCAATTTGAAATAGGACTTTACTCCCTTTGCCTTAAACTTCCCCAACTCATTGACATATACAGTTGTGGCTTTTTCAAAAGTTTGTGGAAATCCTATTGTACAACCCCTGGAAGTTTTACTGGGCATACATTATTGTTGTAGATTAAGAGAAATGTTTTAGCAATGCATAATATTTACCTTGGGGTTCAACAATGACTTTTTCTTCTTCCAGATATTCAGATTACATGGTTCTCAAAGCAACCCAAGATCAAGTCATGGCATCTGTTGGTGACAAAATCAATGAATACAGCAACTTGCACAAGATACATCTTGTAAGTTCATGAGTGACTGAATATTAAATCTGATGGTTAGCTCATTGGTTGATCAGTCATAAGTTAAATTAACTCTTTGACTCCCACATTTTCTTAAAGCTAAATCCGGTGAGTAGTGTACAATATTAGACCATGAGATCAGTGGAAATTAAATTGAATCTAGTTGTTTTAAAGTTGCTTGGAAATTACTTACTCATTTCCAGACAAATATTTTGTGGACAACGTTACAGGCAAGAATAGAATATAAAAATAATTCATAAGTCATCAAATTATTATACTTTAATTACAAAAATTTGTCAACCAATTGAACAAATATTTTCCGCACAGTTTGTAAATTCAGTTTAAAATTTGATCAAAATTGATTTTAAAATAACAAATATACACATGCTAGCAAACTATAAAGCGTCATTAAAATTCAGAGCAAATTTACCATGACAACAATCTTATTATATTTTCAAGTCCATTGGTATTATTCGTTGAACTCCTATTCCAAGCACATATGATGTAAACCTAGAGCTGTGGGATAACTGATATGTGATATATTTCAGATGTCTCTAGAAAAACTTCAAAGTTCATCTTTCCAAGCCATGTGTGCAGACGTCTCTTCTCCTCTTGATCTGGGCCCACCTAGCTTTGCTGCAGCATCGTCTTTCTTACAAAGTGCCGGACAGTCACAAATCATATCACAGGTGAGTTTCCGTGTCTGACTTAATCAGGTTTTGTACAGTTGTCATGGATTTCTGGAGATGAAGAAAGAACACAGAGCACGTATATTTGAAATATAACAGACCTTAAAATGTATTGATGTAATAAAATAATGTGGCTCAAGTTAATTTGGAATAAGTGTATTGCCAGACAAGAATTACATATCATGGTTTATTCATTAACCCTTTACAGTCCAAACCTATTCAGCCTTGTCTCCTCCCAGCGCCCAAGCAAAGGGACATAACCCCATTTTAAATGAAGGTTCTTTATCTAATTAATTTACAGAAAATAAACTACAAGCAACAAAAATAAAATAAAAAATACCTAAATACAAAGAAATGATTAAATCAAAAGTTAAACCTAAAAATAGTTTCAGAGACCCTCCCACTCATGAAATAGTGTAGCTTCATTAGGCCTAAGTTCTTTCAAAAGTGTATCCAAGGCTTAGATAGCCAATTTTTACAGCGAAAAAATCGCGACTTTTAAAAAAAATCACAGAAAATCAGCCCCTAAGCACACCGCGGTCAAACCAGTATCAAAATAAATGCCGACAACGAGGCTTTCTTCCGGTAGAACTATAAATAGTAATGCGCAATGGATTTCCGCTGTGCTAAGAACGAAAGTAAACAACCTCGTGACGGGCGGGTTTGGCCGCATCGGACTGTACGCTTAAGGAAAAAATCGGCGCATTTCGGGCGCATCGGACTGTAAAGGGTTAAGGAACAAAGGCAGAAAATATATTAATTTAACTCAACAAGTTTAATTTTTTAAATGAATTTTTTCCCCCCAGATTTCATGATTCAATCTACTCTAAACTTGACAAGCATGTTTTTAAAGTCTTTTAATTCAAAATTGTAAAAGAAATTCACTATTTCATAATTCTGTTTCACAGTGTGAGCAGTTGGAAACTGAAATGTTCACATTACTGGACCAGAAAAGAGCTCTCCTTCACAATGTGGTGAAAATTCTACATACTTACAATACTGTTATATCACAGGTATGTCAACTAATGTTTTAATTTGTATGCGATAAGATAAGTAATTTATTCTTAAATTAAAATTATCCAAATATGAGGAAATCAAAATATTATAGTGGTCTTAAAATACTTGTATAAATTGTTTCCCCTTTTCTCAGTTTGGTTCTGCGTTTGCCGAGGACAATCGAACATTCAGATTTTTAGGATGGCTTCAGGAGCTTATCGGTGATTTCACATCAAACAAGTCAGTTTAATTGCTTGATATTTCTCTTTGTTACTGCAGTATATTAATTTTAATCAAACAAACAAAAAATGAATATTCAAAACGTTTTTTGGGTCAGATTACTAATATAATCCAATTTAAATTATGCAACAATTCTTAGGTGTGAAGAGATTATGTCTCATCACCATGACCTGTACAGCCCCAGCCCAGCTTCTCAGATCAGCAAGGCCCAGAATGTCTTTAACGTTGAATCCAAGCTTCAAAATCTGTTGACAGACACTAATGCCAAGCTCATTAAAGTAATCAACTTTTCGTTTTATGTTGTTTTTTTTCGTTTCATTCAGTGGTCTGATATTGTCATATTTTTAATTCATTTATTGGTTAAAATTTATTTTACATCTTGTATGCTTCTTTAATTGAATGAAAATTTCCTTCCCCCCAGCTGATGGATCGTAGAGCTCAAGAAGCTAATGAAACAATAACTCTAGAAGGACAAATTCAAGAGGCTGATGAAACTATTAGAATCTTTGTCCATGGTAAGATTTGAATGTTGATCCAACTCAGCTACCGTAGAAATAATAAAACTACTAAACTATGCTTTAGTGACAGTTATTTTATTTTGTGGTTTTTAACTGTATGAGAGTACAAACGAAGCCAAATTATCAGTGGGATTAGAATGATTCATGAAAATTCATTCTAACTTCGGCGTGACAATTTTTAAATCTTTAAAATAAGTGTTTCAGTTGTAAAGTCATCATAAAGTTACTACATTATCTCTACATTAAGAAAGAGGTGAAATTCTAACCGATAGGTTTTCTAATGTTGTATGCTAGGATATTTAAAATGAATGGAATGGACACTCATGCATATATATTTTTTGACACTCATGCACATATATATATTTAATGACAAAAGAAAATGGCTTGGAAGGAGAAAGAAGTTTGATGTCTGTAATTGTATCAGCTCTATACACTCTCAACAAAAGATATCTGCTTATGGAGGGAGCTGCAGCAGGTAAATAATTCTGTTGTTTACATTTAGTTGAATTTCTTCTTGTTCTATATATTAAGGGCCCTTGATCAATTTATTGATCATTTAGGCTCCTATTTAGATGGAACAGAAAACCTGTTCAATCTTAGACAGAATTTTTGTGGACATATTTGGACATATATCTCTCTCTCTTAAATATTAAACTTAAAAATGATAATATGAAATATAGCACACTTTCTTACTACATCACAGTCAACCTGAATGCAATCCTCCCCATATTACACACATATTATAATACTATTATTAAGAGTTAATTCAAAATCCATTTGACAAATTGACATCATCCTTTTAAAGTAAAATTGTCTGCATTTGTATAACACTAGGCATTTTATTTTATATTTAGGTGCTGGAGATAGATTGATGGATCTGACCTCCCGTGATGGAGACTGGTTCCTAGATGAGCTGTGCAGTATGAGTGGCAATGTTAACCATTTCTTGGAAACTCTCAATCAGTATACACAGGTCAGTTGCTCAGTAGATCATGTTGTTATTAAGTTGCTGTTTTTGTGAATTAGTGTAACAAGCTTTAGTGGAGGGAGATTACCACAATCCTTTATCTTTGAGGGAAATAAGTTATTTTAACTGTTAAAAACGATTGTTTAATAACACTAAGCAAAAATAATTTAACACCTCATTTATTGTTGCCGGTTTAATTTAGTATTTTGTTTTTCATTCAATTATTTCTATCCATTAGATTACTAAGGTTAAAACTTTTTTTTTTTTAATTAATTTTTTTTTAAAAATGCATAACAATAAAAATCCACTATGTTTTATCAGGGTTTTCTTTGTCTCCAGATTTGTGACCTGGCCCATGTAAAGAATCTACAGCACAGTCTGCGAGCAACCCATAATGTGTACATAGCTTTACAGGTTGGTTCTTTGTGGAAATGTAAGCTGAAATATTTTAATTATATTTTACATTTGAATTTTGATTGTTGACTGTAAATTAAATCATTAAAGTAAATGTTAATTTGTTTTGTTTCTTTCAGGACTTGAATATGAATTTTAGATCCATCATTCTACCTGAAACAATGAAGCTGACACAATCTCAAGATGAGCACTTCCTCAACATCCTTTCCCAGCTAGAAAATTTGATTCAGCAAAGTAGGATGCCCCTTGATGCCCTGGTTGCACAAGTAGAGATTATGCATCGCAATGCTATCATGGGAATTGAGGTACAAAATTTTATCATATTATTATATTATTATCATATATAGTTTTTTTTTCCGTATTCTGCTGTTATATAACATTATTTCTTAATAGATTTTAAAATCTGTATTTATCCATAGTTTATGCCAACCCCAAGGGCATTCAATTACTTAAATTTTGTATCCTATGCCTCCACATATGGAAAGATCAAATTAGTTCGGAATTACAGACTCTTTTGTAACATTTAAGATTTGTTTGCTTAGTATATGTTAATACCAGATTTTTTGGTACTAGCACCCCTTAAATTTTGTTTAGTCAAACATAAGGGGGCCTTGTTCTTGTTTTCAACTAAGGCTGTGGTTCTCAACCTTCCTAATGCCGCGACCCTTTAATACAGTTCCTCATGTTGTGGCGACTCCCAAATACAATTTTATTTTCGTTGCTACTTCATAACTGTAAAAGTGTGATTTACAATGGTCTTAAGCGACCCTTGTGAAAGGGTCTTTCGACCCCCCCAAATGGGTCACGACCCACAGGTTGAGAACCGCAGAACTAAAGCATCATACAAATAATTTGCATGTATTTAAAATCAGGACAAAAAGCCAGAGGTGTACATGGAAATCAAACGCCTGCAGCAGGAGTTTATGAACTTGTTACAAAAAGGCTGTAACAGCAGCTCAGTCAAACAGTATTCTGATCAACTGACTTCTGGCCAAATGTTGTTGATGGGTTTTAACGGACTGTTTACTAGGCTTGAGGCAGACTTTGCCGAGCTGTTGGATAGCATGGAGTCACTAGAAGTGCCTGCAGTTTGGAAGAAGGTGGACACAGTCCGTGAGGCCAAGTCCATGCAGGTGTGAAGTTACTTTGATTCTCTACACATTTGTTACGTAAATCATATCTGTTGATACTGAATAATAATTAATACAATGATAAGCACAACTGAAAAATGGTGTGGTTCAGGGGAAATCTTTTAAAATGTATATGTGATTAGATTTATTTTTAAGTCAACGTTTGATTCTAAGTTTGGTTAAAAAATATTTCTTGAATACAATTCACTACTACAATAAACATTGTTTGCTGAAGAAGACTTCTTAGGGACATGTTTGTTTTGTTCAATCCTTTTTTTTCAGGTTTTCCCATACTTTTTTTTTGTGCTCATTTCCTAGAATACACAAAAAAAGATAAATGGATAAGTTACATTTCATGATTTGATTTTTTTGTTTTTCAATTTATCTATAATTTCTGCTATAAACTCTTTTCAGTTAAATTTCAATATGTATTGAATCACATACCTTCTTTTGGAGACACTTAGTCTAGCTGACTTATTTTTAAGATAAATGTACGGAAGTTGAGCGCTGGCTATGAAAAAAATATTTTTTCTAAATAAATAATATAAATAAATAAAAATGTTCAACCATTCATTATTTGTTTTATCTAGTTGTCCAACTTCAGTTCCACCACAAGACCCCTCCTGGTTAATATTTTCTTCTTGAAGCGATTGCAAGCCATGCAAGATTTCTTTTACATGACTACTCAGTTTGCAGAGGCACTACAAGGTATAAAATTACACTACTTAAAATTGTATGGTTTTTATGACATGTACTCTTTAACTGTGTGACATGGAACTTGAAAACTAAAATTTGATTTCAATGTTTCGCTTCCCTGAAGGTGTCAGTGGTGGAATCACATATGATGAGGAACAGATGACAAAACCTGTGAAACGGTTTATTGCTGATTTTGTGAGAAAACAGGTTAGTAACATCCTGTATTTATTTTATGCTCAGTATTACTTTATTATTCTAACTTACCTTTATCTATTAGTAATTTTATTGTTGGTAAACTTCACTTCCAGATTTGTGTGCTTGTGTTTTATTCAATCACTATTATCCTTGGTTGCTGACAGGTTCTAGGTTTCCCCTCACAAGTGTTGGGCTACATAATTTGTGTGTTCCTTGGAGAGCTGGGTGTCAATGTGAAAGCTGAGATAGAGCTGAAAGATATTGGTGCTGAACTGAAGGTTCCCCTTGACCTGCTCTGTAAGAAAGGCATGGAAACCTGTCTGACCAGTGGGCAGTTCCAGCACAGGCACCTGACTCAAGTCACTGCCCTCACCAGCAGCCTGGACACAGCGTGGAGGAAGCTTGACCTGGCCAAGTATGTTTTCAAAACAAGCTTTTTTTTTTAGATCTTCATGGAGAAACATCACATATTAATTGAGCTAAATCTCTTAATATGCAAATAGCAATATAACATTTATTGAAAGACTTTTCTAAATCTCCATAGAGTTAGCATACAAATTTAACAATGCAATAAAAGCATAATATAGTAAGATATTGATTTTCAAATTTGCATGAATGGCTTCCACAATTTTGTTATGTGTGTAGCAATTGTAAATATTTAACAGAAGCCAGCGTGATTTTATAGGTACATGTATTAAAGTACTATTAAACTATATTACATATAAGCTAAATTTTCTTGTTGTAATGTCTGAATTGAATTGGTGAAATCAAACACTGCAATATACAAATCATAATGCAGAAAAGCAACTGACTTCCTCTTTTTATTTGCAGACGCCTTGATGCACACATTGTCCTGATGAAGGGTCAAGTCCAGAGATGCCAGCCACAACTTGCACGCTTTCAGTGGCTCCATGAAGACCTCTTCATTCAAGCTGGTAGACAGCATTCACAGATGGTTCATCCAGGAAGGGCTGCTGTCATGTCAGAAATGAAAAAAGTAACCTACTTAAAATAAAGGAAACCAATCACCAAAATTACACTATGTAAAATAAGCATATTTTAAACACAAAAATACAGATCTAATCTGTATACTTGTCCTTTTTTTATGTTGACAATGATACATTTTTACTTGTAATGGGAAGATATTATACATTGATATGATGGGATATTAATAAGGCATTTCATTATTGCCTGTTTAGAAATGATCAATAAATTGAATGTGGCCCCTTAATATATAGAAGAAGAAGAAATATTATAGCTTTAAGTTTTTTTTCAATTTTAATCTACAAATAAAAAATGTCACACACATTTATATGATGCATAACATTCAATAGTTGTTAAATATACATCAAACTAATAAAGTTTATCTTTCTCCCATATAGACAGCACAAGCTCTTATCTCCCAGGAGTCCCTAATCACCTCTTGCCTTGAACGCTATGGTCAAATGGAGGCCAGCATTAGCCAGAGACTGCGATGGGCCGCTGGAGCAAACCCTTCACTTAACAATGTACTCGGCAACTTTGAGAAAGCTGCCATTTACAGGAAAAAATTCATTGAGGTTAGCATTCTTACGTATTCAAATGACATTTTGTCCCAGCCTTTGTTTTTTTGTTTCTAGACTAGAGGTGTCAAAAAGAATGTAATTGGTATATGCCAGGGTCAGCTTTTTAAAATTCTTTGCTTGAAAATTCTCTGTGCTTGTTCTCGTCTTAACTTCGTTGCATTTAATGCATTGGCTCAGTGCCACATTCAGTTATGTTAGTATATAATGATTTTGAGATGATATAAAGTAGGATATTTTTATTTTTATTGGTGGCCTGGTATAATCTGTTGTTTAGTTTAATGGTCTACACTCCAGTTTGATTTTTGACACCCCTGTCCTAGACATAAAATGTGCACCTAATCATAAAATTCAAACATTTATTTTGGTAGTTTCACCTTTAAATCAAGCTAAGTAGGCTTATTAATATTATAATATTTTAGCAAATAATAATATTTATTGACACTTTGATATTATTTACTTTTTAAACAAAAATACTTTTAGAATTTTAATAAAATAAATGCCATCAAAACAAACCATAAATAACATTTGATTTGAAGCACACAATAATAATTCATGATGTTTTAATTTTACTTTTTTTCCTCCTCTGATTCAGGAAGAAAATAAAAGAGTTTCAGATTGTAGCATTCTCTGTAATGGTATTCTGCACTTAGAAACCTTAAGAACACAAACACATGAAGCATCATCCGCTGATACAGCCTTCTGTCAGCTCCTCAACAAGTAAGCGTATTTATTTAATCTTTTGTTCCAAAATGTCACTTCACTGAAAGTTGATATGAGGTCAGAGAATAAAATACAATCCGCATAAACTTATTGTGTCATTGCCTGTAATGGTTAGTGAAGAATGGCTGATATATTTTTTATAATGTTTTATCCAACAGATGCTCAGAATGCTGCATGATGCTTGAGTCAACCAGTAGCTCTGTCAGTGAACTGGAGCTGAATATTATCAACATCCAGGTTGGTGACTACTCTTTTCATTTTCTTGTGATGAAACAAAAGCTCTAATTTTATTCCATAATAACTTCTCAATTGTCTTCACTGTTAAGGAAATCTTGAATTAATCCCAAACTCAAAACAGCTATTTTTCAATTATTTTGCTCTTGAAAAAAACCAACAAAAAAAATCAACAAAACTAACAACTTAAACTTACACCTGGCTAGGGACTGTGATTTTTGAAAAGTGCCCACTATTGCTAGCAGTGCAGATTGAACTTCTATTATCTTACAATGGGCCTCTATATCTATTGTAGCCTCTAAATGAATTTGAGAAATCTGACTTAAACTGGATCAAAAGAGCCATAGAAGCTGTGGACAAGACTGTGACTGAATCAAAGAAGAGAATGGAGCAGATTGCCATCAGCCTTATAGAATGCCAGGTGGGTAGTACATTCTGGATGTCTAGAATCAAATTACAAGATATGTAATTCTTATTTAATAAACTTTATTTCTGAAACTGGTGGCAAGCTCTCAAGTCAGTTTTAAATGTTTGATTGATCTAAATAAATATAATGACATCTTGCATCTTAGTTGACTACTTATCTAGTCACATTTATTTTTTGTAAATAAACTTGAGTGATGTTCAAACGTTTAATCCTAAAACTGTTTATTACAGAGAGGAATCAAAGACACTGTGGCTTTGATCAAGGTGCATTTGTCCAGCCATCACAAACTGATGTCAGACATCAGATCTATTCTCAAGACTCTTGCCAAGGTATGAATTTCTAAATAAGATTGCAGTCAAATCAAAGTTAAAAAGTTGCTGCCTTAAGTTGTTTGAATCCAAACAATTCCTCTTGCTAAATTAGTTAAAAAATTAAAATAAACTAGATATAGCTCGCCAAACATTGGCGACAGCAATGCGTGAACTTCCCATCTAGTAAAGTTACTTGACAAAACATGAACCCAAGTAACGCACATTTAAGAATCCCAATATTTGCCACACCCCTTCCCCCATGATATGTCACTGCACACTTTTTATTTCACGCCCATGAACAATATTAATATTCTCATGTCCCAACCCGTTTTAAACCGAACATTTTTTAGACAATACTTAAATTGAGACGATTTCATTTCCGAAAAGAAAATATTACGCACCAAACGCTATTGCGTTATTAAAAATAGATAAATATCATTTAGAGTAGTTATCGGGAATTTAACTAGTAAACTCATTATTTAACCACACTCTGGCGTATCTATATATAGCCTGCGTGGTGGTGGTTTTTAACCTTTGCTGGCGAATTATGTATATAGATGTAGCAATCACCTGTTATATATTAGTGATTATTGTTATTGCCAGACAGACCAAGGAGTGTTCACAAAAACTGCAATATACCTTCACAATAGTAATAGTTTCCATGTTTTATTGTATTTGGTTTGATAAATCTGTGAAAATGGCTATTACCGTTGATAACCCTCAATTTTCATGGATTTTTATATAAACAGTTTTAATGTTAAATATCTTAGAATACTTTATTGGAAACTAGACATTTTTCCATTCTATGCTTTATTCTTTTAGCTTGAGGAACAGGACTTTGGGGAAGAGGTGAAGCCAGGTAGTATCAGAGCCTACCTCGCCCAGTACAAGATTTTCTCTGAAAAGATTACAGCCATTCTCAAAACTGTGGTGAGTGAGATGACCACTAGGGATGAGATGGCTCAGAGTGTGCAGGACATGGAGGCCTTGAAATCTCAACTGGATGTGTAAGTACAGGTCCATTTGGTTTTATCTTAACATTACTTTGCATTTACTCGGTCATGGAGATCGAGATAACCGACGTAAAGTGGCAATTTGGTCCCCTTTTGTGCTCGAGATATTAAGGTTCAGAAGAGATATTAGGGTTCAGCGACATAATAGAATCGATATAACCGATGAGAAAATGCTAAGACAAAGAGAGAATTTGGTGAGTTAACCGAGGTCGAGATGAGTGGGTTTGACTGTAATTACAATGTAGATGTACCTAATGCAATGCCATGAATGAAACTGTAAGTTCCTATCTGTGATATTTCTTGACCAGGGTTTATGACAGCTTGTCTGAGTTTGCTCCTTCCATCATGACAACCAGCATGGTGATGGCAACAGAGCAGAATGACCCCGTTTCTAGCGAGCTAGACAACAAGAAGATCTTTGACCCAGCATTGAGGGCAGTGCTCCACTCTAAGGACAGGAGCTCTCCACCCCTTCTCAATCAGAACAGCCCGGCTGGGCAGTCAACTGCTGTTGTCAAGCCACAAGGTTTGGCCTTGAACACTATAACCAGACTTTAATAATGTTTTTTTATAGTGCTTTTGAAGTAGCCCTTTGCAGTCCTTTTTTTTGCCTTTTACTTGTTTTTTTAATTTACCATTTTTATGTGTCAAATTTTGACTTTCCCCCCCTCAAATAACATTATTTGATCATTCAAACTGTTGATTCCCATTGTCATTCATCTAAAAAATTGTAATCTCCTCTGTTTTGGGTACTTCAGTATCTACTTTACCTAAGAGGTTCTCTTTTTTTGTTTAGAAAACCTGGAATAGTGAGGGGGTTTGTAGTATTATAAAATAATTTTTCAGCCTATACCTGAAAACCCTTTTTATAATTGGATATCAATTCCTTCATTTAAAGGAAAGAAAGAAAAAGAAAGAGTGTCCAGGGATCCTAAGACTGGAAAAGGTAATACTCATAATTTTAACAAAACATAGCTTAGTCAACTAGTTACTTTGAAATATGTTCTTAAATCATTCACATGAATGCTGGCAAGGTGAGTTAATGGTTCCTAACATGTTAATGATCATTGACTCTAAAAGGAAGTCTTGATAATCCAACAAAATAAATTTATCTGTTAACAAAAAGAGACAGTTCTCCTGGTCTCAAGGACTTTCCAAAACAACATGTGCAATGCAATCAAACAAATTTCCATTTATTTGGATTAATAAAAGCATCTTAACTTATCTATTCAAGAGTGAGAAAAAGAAATTTTTCTCCCAGTCTTATGTTATATTCAGAAATGTAAGTCTTTTGCCGATTCTGTGTAAAAAATATTGATTGTGTTTGCAGCTGTTCAAGAAAGGAATTCCTATGCTGTAGGAGTTTGGAGGAGGGTTAAAATGAAACTTGAAGGGAGAGATCCTGACCCTAATAAAAGGATGAGTGTTGCAGAACAGGTAGAAACTTCAGTTCTTTTTATCATTTTGATTTAAGAGACACATTTTAAACAGTTAAATCACAACATGTTACCTAATAAAATGAGTAAAACAGAGTATGGTTAAACCTGAAAAATTAAACGTAACAAAACAGCGAACGTGTCGGCAGAAAGCCTTCGTCAGCGAACAAAACAACAGAAAAAACGTTAAGAAATAGCACTTAGCTGGTAAGTAGTATCTGTGGGCAGCAATAGAAGTGTGGCAGAAGGAAACTGAGTGAGAGTTTAAATAAGCAGCGGCGAAAAAAGGGGGGAGAAAAAAGTTCACTGTGATAGGTCAGAACGTGGAGGGGCGGAGCTAGGGTCAAGCTGTGAACAGAGACATAACATTAATCCCATCTGGCGTCAAGGTGCCGTAAGTCAGGATAAGTCTGTGTTCCAAATTGACCCGGCTGGCGGTGTTAGTGCTGGCCACAATCGCACTTATTGAAAAGTCCGCCTTGCCCCGGTGGTCGCTACTATTGAAGTTACATGTTACCTGTGGGTTTGTTTCTCCATTAACTCCATTTATTTCAAGTCTAAATATTTCAGGCATGAATATTTCGCGTATTAGGGATTTTCTGATGAAGTTGCAATGACCTTTATAATTTTAACATACACATTTATTTCAGTACATGTCTGCCTTTGTTAATGGACATTAAACAACCCCTAAAAAGCATTTTTATGTAATGGTGATGGCTATAGTTCTTAAGCAATCATTGCATCATATTTCCTTCATCTTCCCCTTGAAAAACTGGTGGGGTGGGGGCTGAAAAAATTTGATACATGTGTTCTCATCGGCATAGATGCTGTTATCAGGAACTTTGTAAAGTCAGTGGCTTAGGAAGCATTAAAACAGATTTTATGAGTGCCGGGTTGAGGCTGAAAATTTGTTATTATCGGCAATGAGTCTATGTGCCAATTTTCAGCTCAAAAGAATGACGGGAAGTTGGTCGATTTGCCTTCCCAATATTTTGCCACAAACACAGAAAGAAAGAAAGAAAGAAGGAAAGAAAGACATGTACAAAAGCAAAGTTAATATAAAGTATTTAAAAATGGATGCATTCAGCTGCTTTAATTATTTTACAATCGCCAAAAACAATATGGACAATTTGTTACTGCCAGCAGGCCAGATGAATTTGGGAAGTTTTTTTTTTTTTAGTTTGATGTCTAGCAAGGTATGAACAAGGGAGAATCGTCAGCTTATCAATGTGAGAATTGGAACAGGATAGTTCAGTCCCTCAATGCCCCTTCTAGAGAAAGAAAATATTTTGTGTAAATTAAATCCTTTAACTGATAAGAAATATTTGTATTGATATTGAGCGCTTGACTTTTTGTTCCCTGAGAGCAGGGAATGTCGAACCTTTTTGAGTGAAGAGCCATTTTTATAAATATTATTTGTTAAGAAAATAATTTAGGAGATGCAGGCTGGGGCGAATTGTTTAAATGGCATTTATAGACTATATAAAAAGAGCTGTATCTATTCATTCAATGAGCCACCATCAGCTCTGGAGCCACAGGTTGCTGCTGACCACTGCCCTTCTTAATAAAATGCTGCAATTAAAATAAAAAAATCAAGTGACACCCATGTTTTTGTCAGTGTAATGAATGATTTTTATCTAGTGAATGTATTGAATGATCTGATAACTTTCCTTTCTTACCTTGTAATAAATAACTATTTCAGGTGGACTACATCATCAAAGAGGCCAAGAACCCAGATAACTTGGCTGTACTGTATGAAGGTTGGACACCTTGGGTATGAGCCTCAAAAAGAAGGGAAAAAAAGCCAGCAAGTGGCATTATAATGCATGAGTCAAAATTCGACAGCAGAAGACAGGGGAAAGCACCCTTTGTCCTTCAGCTTACAGATGATGGGAGAGTTACGTGGCCTTGACCCCCCCAGTGATACAGAAAACCTGTGAGGCCAGCAAGATAGGGAGTTGCAGTGCACTTATATGCTTGTCACACAAATAAGAAGCCGACCAGGGATGCGCTCTGGGCCAGGGAGTGGAAATAGTGGGAATAGGCTCTGTCTTTGGATGTTTGAACATCACTAGTTTTGTTAAGGGGAGAAAGCCAGAGCATTAGACATAGAAGATTTAAAAAGTGATCAAAATGCCTCTAAGCAGAAACACTCTGGGCCTGTCCGATAGGTCCGAAACAAAGAGTGGCTTTGGGGAGTATTGTCACTTTAAGTCTCCTTGGGATCTTGTCTCTTTTTTCCGAAATCACCTTGTGGACACATGCTCTCGCATGTGAGAGATATAAGAATGATTTCAATACATGAGGTGTAATAATGTTTCAGTAACAGTCTTCAGACATATGGGTCCTGCACAGTGATGTGGACCAACAGAATACTTGGATCCTCTTTATTTTTTTTTATTTTTGTTTTCCAAATCAATTTTTTTTTAAATTTCAAATTTTGTGAATGTTTCCATATTCCGACATTACGTACCATTTATCAATTGTAGCTGACTATCAGAATAAAGTAAAAATAGAAACTCCTTTATATTAAAACCTGTAAAAGTGTTTAGTGAATGGACAATAGGAACAAAGTTACGTAAGACTTTCAGGAATGAAAGATAGAAAAATGATATGCAGTCTAAAGTGAAACCCATTACAGATTTAGAAATAGTCATGTTGTAATCCAGAGTTTATTTATTATCTTAGAACTCTCGTCAACATTAACTGGTCTGGTTTTATCAGTGTTCAGTTAGTTGAATCTATCTCTGCATGTACTTTTTAATGAAGAATTTGAGTAAGATCTCGGCTGATAAAAACCTTTTGGTAAAGAGCTTTCATTATCAGCATTAATGCTTTGTTTTCATTTACTCTATTTTTTAATTTTTTAACGTGACTTCCTTACAAAATATTTAAAAGACCACCAGGTGTCTTTTGTTAGCCATCCATTTTAAATAATATTGATGGAGTTGAAAGTCATTTCAGTCAGTGCAACATATAGAAATCAATCACATATTGTTCAATGAACTATTTAAGATGCATTGTGAGAACCAATTTCTTTTCCAATGCCAGGCAACTTGTGTGAACATTGCAGCTGTGTTGTTAAGTGGTGTCCTATTACATTTGTGTGCCAATGGTGCCATGCTAAAAAAAAAAACTTCTGTCCAAAGTCTTCTACTAACTTTTATATGAAAATATTTTTCTCTTTCTTTTAAAATCAGGTGCTCATAAATATTCTAATCTCATTTCTTGAGATATGAAAAGTTAGTCACCAACAAAAATTCTATGAATAAACTTGATTAAATTCATTACAGCTGATTTTTTAAAAAAACAACACTTGTTGAAGTAAATAACAAAGCGATGTTTATTTTCTTTTATTTATTATGTTAAAAATAGTTTATATTTCTTTTCCCATTGTTCATTTGATCTTAAACCACAATATTTTGCTTTTTACTAGTGTTCATTACCATCACAACTTTAGATGTTTTGAATACTGCTATGTTCCATCTTATCATTAGTGAGTTATATTTTGTGTTCAAGAGCCTTTTTTTGTTTAGTTTTTAGCAATAATAACTTAGTAAGGCTTGATTCAGAGGGTAGAAAATTTAAAATTTCTTGAAGTTAGGATAATATTCTTAACGAGTTTTTTTTAAGGTTTAACACTTATTTTAATTATTTCATGGGTTCAGTTTTCTTGTTAAGAAGAGATTCCTTTTTATTTCTAGAATTACAGAAAATGTATTCCCTCAACATTTACAGAACTGTCCCCCATGCTTGTATAAGAATACTATCAACACTGACTTATGCCTTTCCTTCTGGGTTGCAGTCTCTTATATTTGCATTGAACCATTACTGACAAAAATATGGCTTATTTCAGTTAATTTCTTTCAAAAGCATTAACTTGAGTGAATTTTTTTAAATTAATTTTTTTGTTTGTTGTTGTTCAGTATTTGCTTCATAAATCTTTAAGGAAAAGACCACGTCATGTTAATTTTTTAGTCGCATTATTGACTATAAATTGTAATAAGTCAAATTATTTAAAATGGCAAAAAAAAAACAACAACTCTACAACTGCAGGCTGGTGGGGATATTGTCTATTAATTTCATAGACCTCTATTACATCTGATGCAGTGGGTTTCAAAGTTAGATCGTCTTGAGAGTGAGCCAGATAGTTAAAGCATTTAAAACAAAATATAATTCATTAGATATGACTACATGATCAGTGATAGCTGAGTTCAAAGATTGCAGGTATTCTTGTTTTGTTTTTTTGTTAACAGCTTTTCATTCTCTGTACCTTTTAATATTTTGTGGTAGCTGAGAGAGGGGGGGGGAACAATTTTGTGAAAATGTTTCTTACATAGTATTTAACATGCATTTTTTTTAAAAAAATGAACTTAATCAGCTAAATATATTTAAAAACAAACATTAAGAAAAAATTATTTTTGGAAAAAATTACAAAAAAAAAAAAAAAAAAAAAAAAGAAATATTATTAGGTGAAATCAATTTTTTCATAAAGTAAAAACTTTTGCACCATCCTCATTTACATATTTAAATATTCTACTTAAAGTGCTATTTGCTTAACTAAAATGTGTGTGGAATATTCATGCAGTTTCCATGTGTGTGGAAAATTCATGTACTTTCCTTCAAATTCAGGGTCCTGCCATTTTGTTAAGTCAAATTATATATAAATTGTATTTGAATGTTAAAATCATGCTAGTATAAGCTTGTTCCTTTTATTTTGTTTCTTTTTGTTCTTCAATGTTTTCTTGGTATAATAATGCCTATTGTAAGCCAATGTTTTCTTGTAGATTGGTAGCGTTTAACGTATTTATGTGACTCCTGAGTTGTCCAGTGCCCGTATTTATGTGACACCTGAGTTGTCCAGTGCCCTCGTTCCATTTCTTGTCCCGTAGCCTAACACTAGGAAGCTTACCCTACCCTACCTCTTACTGTATGCAAGTAGACATCAACAGTTAACATTATGCATAGCCTACATCAATATAAATATTAGCTTATAAAGTAGGGAGAGGTTATTCTCTCAAATGTGTGATGTACTTGAGTTGTGTTTGGTTATTAGTTGTTTGTTTTTTTCTTTTCATGCTTATTATTAATAGTTGCTTTTTGTGTGAATTCTTTTATCATACTTTTCATTATATTATAATCTTGACCACTGAAGTTGAGAAGGTTAAGGCCATATTTTTGCATGATTAATTTATTAAAAGATACAAAATTACTCTATCTTTAAATCTCAGATGATGAATCAGCAAAACCTTTACTTCAAACAAAAGGAATAAATATCTGACTTGATTTTCTTTAGTTTCTTTAAAATTTATCTTATTTTTGTTAAACTTAAAAGTATCTTAATAGTATGAAATCACATTATATCTTCAATGTTGTATCAATAAAAGTTCAAATGTTTACTTTCTAGTTCACTTTTGTTGTTTGTATCTTATATGTTCTGGTGGGTGTTGAATGAAATAGAGTAAAAGTACTCATTGCACACTTTATTTTAAAAAGTGTTAGAACAATGCACATTTTTTTAAAAACATTATTTTGCACTAAACCTTTGGATAAATGAATTATTAGACCTTGGGTTGGGCAACCCTATCACCAACAATCTGGCGTTGTGGCGAATGGACCTCGTTAAGTTTAGAAATTTGGTTTCGCATAATCATAAAGGATTTAGAAAAAATTAAAGTTTTTAAGTACACTTAAAAATAATAATTAAATACAATATGAAGCATCAAGCAAAACAAGTAGATGCATACTTATGTAATTTTATAGTAGATGTTAAAAACTGGTGTATTAATGCTTCTATATTTAGTAGTAGTAAATAAGTGGTGAATTACACTTTTTCATTCACCACATCTTTGGCTTTTTTGGAGAAAAAAGTTTTGACCACTGATTATTTTAGAGTATAAAACTGCATGCAAATGGTGAATGAACACTTGATGTTATGTGTTGTGTTTATTTTGTCTATGGGTGTATTAACTTAAAAGTTATGAACAGCACAAGGCTCCAAGCAAGACACTGTCACAAAAATACAAGAATGTTTTGATTTACATCTAATTCATTTAGAACTAAATATTGAATAGCAATCAAAATGTCAAATTTCTGTTTCAATTTTATAATATCCATAGTTTGACTTACTTGTTACTATTTACACATTAAAGGTGTGTTAAGACTGTGCGTGGCTGCTACAGGATATATTTTCATTAGGGTAAAATATGTTGAATACTACAGTCTAAAGTGTTTAACAAAACAGATACAAAATAATAATAGTGTACTATTTTATTTCTAGCTGAATTGGTAAACCAGTCAAAGAACAAGAACATTTAAAGGTTGCACTTATAATTAATGTTATTTATTCTTTTTTATTCTTTTATAGTAAACAACAAATTGTTCAATAATTATTGACATCAAAAAAACTTAATGTTAAAATTTATTTTTACAAAAAAGGTGTCAAATTAAACAACTAAATAATAAATGCAACCGTGCATATATATACATAAATATCATATTAGTAGAGTCCATACGTTCAATGCAATTTGCAGAGCCAATCTCCTACAATGACCACAGCTATCAAAGGGGGTTAATTTTGCTGGACTTGAGTAGTTATCCAGTTAAAAGCTATCCATAAATTTTATGTCTTATTTGCAACTCATTTAGAGACACCTATATAATTTTCGTTTTCACCCTTCACTATAAATTTGCTTAAATTAATTTTTTTTTCTAAATTTTCAATATGATTTATCATTCTCCACTTTCTCCTCTTAATATCTTAGCTCTTCATAATTTAAAAATTCGGTGTTGCACGTGTTAAGGATTCTGAACAGTGATTGGTTCTTAGCCTCAGATCTGTTTCTGGTTTCTCAAACATTTATAAATACATAGCTGTATAGTTAGTAGCCTTCAAGTGTGTATAGAAGTTTAGAAGTTTTTATTTTTAGCATTTCAACATCACTAAAACAATGAAACATACATCCTACAGCAACTATGGTTCACACTATCAAAATATATACAGATTATGTGTGAATATTTAATAACAGGCAGCCCTCATAGTGCAATGGTAATCTGTGCTGATTACCTATAGGGCCATTCACTATAGCCACGCACAAGAATATTTACATATGAAATATATTAATAATCTTTGCCAACTAGCAAAAAGATTAAATGATAGATAATAGTGAAAACTGTGAGTCTCAAACATTTATAAAAACTAATAATTACAGAACATATGTAAAAAGAACTTACTAAAATCAAAATTATGTTTTTTTAACATTTTGGCTTTTGTGCAGAAAATTGGACATTATTTAAAAAATGATAATTTTTTAAACAATATAAAGCATGAAAATACATTCCCCATCCTGGCATCCCCTAAAAATTCACATGAACTCAATGTGTTCAACACTATCAAAATAACAATGGTCTGTTAGCCAGCTTTGATCTGAGACCATGTAGAACTCTGTTACCTGACACAAGTGGATTTACCTCTCGCCATGCAGGACCCTTTTCTTCACCTGAAATCATCAAATGGCAAACATAGAGTTGGAATTCTTTACTCTCCATGCAAAACTGCATTAAAAAATGATTTATCTTCCTTACACATCACTTTATAAAAACTTACCTCAGACAATTCGATTTATTCTTTTATATTCTCGCACTTGTAGGTCTATATAATATATTTACAATTCTGCAGCCATTTCGACTCCTTTAAAAAAGAAATTCTATAGGCTCAAGTACTTCAAATTAATCTGAGTGTTTTTACGATTTATTTTTTCAAGTAGCTATTAAACAGTACCTGTTATGATATTATACTGTTGTCGGACAGGGTACTCTCGTCCAACCCCAGGACCCCTTAGTACTCCTAATTTGTTATGCATTCTGTTGTATTGTGACCAATAGCTGTATGGCCCTTCATCTGGTTTCACCACTTCTTTGACCTTTGCTCCTTCGATCTGATTAACTTTGTTGGTTAAAGACAGTAAGTGCAGTTGACCTGCCTGTTAGGAATATCCAAACAATAGGTTTGGGGTGAGATTATTGAGGGCTGTAGTGATATTATAAGAAATTATTTATTCCCCTTAAACATTATGAAGGCAAATTAGTATGAAAATCAAAACACATCTGTTATTTTATAATTTAATTCAATGGAGCCTCACGGTGGTTACCTGCATTGTCACAGTTGGTATTTGCTACCTTCAGGGACAATTAATATAAGTGTCCAGACACCCACATAAGCAGTGTTGCTTTCATGCATCTCTGAAAAGGGGGGGGGGGATGGCACTGCCCCCCAAGGGAAATCAAGTGCTACCCCAGAGAATAAATGAGTGCAACAATAACGTAAAACTATAGGCCTACTAAAAAAAATCTAAATTTTTAATTCAAATTATAAAAAGAGTTCTAAATGGTAGGCCTAGCTGTAACCTATTAAAATTAGTGAAATACTGCAACCAAATATCAAGGCTTTCGTTACATTTGATAATCTGAATATTAAAGGCAAATCTAGATATAGTATTTGATTCCAATTATTTGAAATCCTTTTCATTGAACCTACCTTCCCAAAGATATAAATGCCTATAATTCTAATATTTTAACATAGTCCTTGCTAAAAATATTTATACCTGTGCTGAAAATGAATATGTAAAATGTAATTAAAACGCATTTCCATTGAGCTGGGATCAATAAACGAATTGTATCTATCTTAATTATAAAACATTGATAATGTGTTTAAAAATAATAATCTTAATAAAAATGCGATCAGCCTTTAAAATAGAGTGAGCTGTAAACTATAACTACATCATCTTTCTGTAAAAATAATGGCATTATTTTAAATTTAGTTGATTTTATGAGTGTTAAGCTAGTTAAAAATTAAAATTTAAAAAGAATTCACTTCATTTTTTAACAAATTAAGGTACATCATTTGCATATTAACGGTGCTCGCTTAAATTAATCAATAATTTTTAACTCAAAATTTTTTGTATTTTCTTGACATTTGTTACTTTTGTGACATAGTTTACTAGATATCAGTGAGTAAAAAGAAATTTTAAATGCACATAGAGGGCCTATATTAATTTATTAACTGCTTTTCTCTTTTTAATTTCAGCATAATAAGAAAATATGACCTTGCAAGCATTAATGTAAAAATAAAACAATAATAGAATCAAATAGGAAGTTGAAAAAAACAGTTTTTAAGAACTAGTTCAACGATTTTCCAATCTCTTCCCTTTATAATTTTTTAATACTTATTTAAACAAAGATATTATTTAAAAAATCATCAATGTTTTAAAATCTAGAGATTTGTAAATAAATATGCCTTACAGTATATGAATGAATTTTAACAAAGGTGCCATATGTTCATGGCAGTGGCGTAGCTAAGATTTGTGCCACCGGGGCTGATCAAGTTTTTTAATGCCCACCCCCACAGAAAAACCTCTGTAGTTGAATGATAATGCCGACCCTCAATATAAGGAAAAGAGTGCCAGCGAACCGCCTCCTCCACACCTCCTACCCATGCCACTAGTTAATTGATTTGTAATTCATCTTCTAAATATAATCAAGCCTTCAGTAAAAACAAAATTACCTGTTTTAAGTAGTCATAAGAATCTATAGACAAAATCTATAACACAGTACTTATTCTAGTAAGATTTGGTAATATTTAAATTTCTAATAAAAGAAAAAGGTAGCCTATTTATTAATTTTTAAAAAAAATGTTCAATATGTATTATGATATCATTACTTTTTGTGATGGTACATGCTGGCATGGCGTACCGGCACATTTTGGACTGCATTATTTTAATATTCATTTATTAATGAAGTAGTTAAAAGAAATACAAAGTTAAAATAAAATTATTAAACAACATTACTATTAGGTAACAATAAAAAAAAGGGATTTATATAATACTATAAAAGCACCCAGGTTAAGAGAAACCTAAATTTTCAAGCATCTTTTCTGCTTCTCTGTTGATGGAAAACTGAACTCAGGTATTTGCCAAAATGCATTCCTTAATTTTAAATTTTTCAAAATTTTTCTGGGGAGGGTTTGCACTCCTCCCCAGATCCCGCCCCTTTCATTTCTGCTTCTTCCACCACAGCCCAAAGTGATATTACTGGCACCTTTGTATTTAAACAAAGACACCTGTAGATGTTAGTAATATAATGATTTTCTTAAATGACAAAAGTATTATTTGCCATTCATTTTGTAAAAATATTTGGACTACACAAATTTGTCTCTATAGAATCCAGGGGTAAAAATAAGATGGGACCAAATTCATACCCCCAGGGTGCTAAACTAAATACAGTGTGACAGTGAATATTAGCTACCTCCATTGTGCCAGTGGATAAAGTTTAGGATAAATATGGGAAACAAGTCTGCATAGTGGAATAATAAAATAATAATAACATGCATAAAGTAAACAAACAGCTATATTTCCCCTAAAGCAATTTTTAAAATAGTTACACCTATAAAAGGCAAGACAATTATACACCTACTGGTATGATATTTTTAGACTGGTATTTAACCATGCTCTCAGACAAAAATTGGTCAGGCCCCTCTTCTGTGCCAAACTTGACCTGTGACCTGTGCATTGATGGACATGGGTGCGGACGTTGGGCAGGCTCCAGGAACTTACTACCACTGAAGTACTATTTTAGAGAGAATGTCAGAGAATGATTACATATGAATATTTAATAGATTAATTTATTGCTTGCATTTTAATGTAATATTATAAATAAGTAATGGAGAGTAGAAATATAAACTAGAGTAGGAATATGACAGGCAAATGACCTAAAATAGAGCTAAACTCTAAACTATAGGGCCTATGCCATTCTAACTTGCCGATTGGGATGATGTCAAAACATTTACTCTCATCAACTTGCAGGGCTTTTAAAAGTAAATTCTATTTAATGCTAGGCTGTTTAAGTATTGTACAGATAGTGACACAGTAGGCTCAATGTTTTTGTATTAGGAAGTTTTGATGCCCCTAGGCCGAAACACTCAATAGCTCTTAATAGCTACAGGCTACAGCGTGTTACATGAATTCAACAACTAATTAATAAGCTTTTATTGAAAAAATGATGGAGTTTAATAAGTAAAAATTTACGCTGACTAGATACTAGAATGAATTTATAAGCCATAGCTTGAATAGGAATTAGAAAGCCTACCTGATTACTTGTTGTCACGTAATCTGGTGACCAAGGGGGCTTGGCAATAGTCAGTGTTGTACGATGCATCTGTCTTTCACCCCTTAGTCTTTTAACAGGAGCTGAAAGGCAACGAGGTTGTCCATAATAAGCCCGATGACTGTACGGTTCATGAACAACTGGATAATAGCACCCATCTTCTGTTAAAATGGTAGTTACTGTTTTTCCTTGACCATGTTCAATTCTTGAATCAAATAATGCCATTGCCGTGAAAAATTATTTGAAAATATGAAATATAAAATACTTTTTTACAACCTTTCCATAAGAAGTTTACAAATCTATAACTTTAAATTCTCGTATTTATAAAAAAAAACAGCATTATATTTTACACCCCTTCCTTAGAATTTAGTTCGGTAAAAAATCTTTTGACAACTTTAAGTGTGCCTAGCACTCAAAAAGACGCTATTGAAATATGCGCGATAAAATACAACAAGCAATTATTTCAAAAATTTGTAACATATTTTGGTGATTAACTTTGATTTCATAATAAATTATACTAAAAAAATATATATTGATCATAAAGTTAATGAGATAGCTCAAAATAAATGATTTTATATAAATATTTTGGTTGCTAACATCTTTGGAAAAGCGCATTAATTTTCTAACAAGAGAGACATAAAAAAAACAACAAAAAAAACAACCAACAAACAAACAAACCCCGAGCAAAATTAGTCCCTTGAAATATCAAATTCCTTATTATCAAATAATAACTTATATCAAATCAAATAATAAAAGAAAAATAATTAATTGTAATTAATCTAATTAATTGCCACGAAGTAGACTTACAAACAATATTTAATATAACGACCGTGCCGCCGTGTTACTTTGTTTTGTGATTTTTGGGAAAACTTGGAAGTCGAAAACATTGTAAATCATAAAACTAAAACAATTCATAATTTAAGAATCATTAGTATTTATAATCATGGCCATGGTAGGTTAGTGAAATTAGAATTATTTTAATTATCATCATCACGTCCCTTAGTCTTTGGACCGTTGGGGCGTCACAGATGACATGTGAACTATCCTCCTCCATTCGTCTCTGTCTTCTGCACGCCTCACAGCATCGCCTAGTATCAGTCCTGTCAACTCTTTGATGTTGTTGATTGTTTTTATAGGAAATCATTACACCTTCGTCTGAAAATTTTTAGTTTACTAAATGAAAATAATTTAAGATGTTATTTTAAAGAGTGAATAGTGATTACTAGATTACTTAATTTTCTTTAATTACAAGAGTTATCTCCCCTTTTATATTAAATAGTACTGAATGAGGGAGAAAAGGCTGCCATGCAGGGAGCTTCATGTGTGACGTCTGAACTCCGGTAAATATGTTGCTATTTTCTTTATACTGCGACTGTTGTTTCATAACTCGTTGTTATAAAATGAACGAGGTAAACAATGGGGACGCCTGCCACTATTTTATCGAATTTCACGAATGTATCCCTAAATCGATCCCTATGCCTAACCTAAACCCTAAATCGATCCCTATGCCTAACCTAAACCCTGAATCGATCCCTATGTCTAACCTGAACCCTAAATCGATCCCTATGCCTAACCTAAACTAAACCCTAAATCGATCCTTATGCCTTATGCCTAACCTAAACCCTAATTCACTGCAACTATAATAAACACACAAAAGAAGCCGTAGCATCAGTCCTCGGATTTAGCCATGAACGACAGTAACTTCTCTGTCGATGGGTTTCTGTACAACGTCATTTCTATTCCGGGATCCGGCAACTGCCTGTTCCTATCAGTGAGTGGGTTATTTCTTGACACAAATGGTTGACGAAGGCAATGCAATCTCGGTGCGACATCACATATGACAGTAGGTTTCGTTGCATATTATAGAAAAGTAGAAGATAACTCTTTTTGTGTGAAACTTGGACCCACCGGATATTTTGAAAAATACTGCACCAGGTTAAGCCACAGTGTTATAACAATTGAGTGATGGAAGCCAAAGCTCTCCCATCACCAACACCACCCCACCCAACCTCCCATGCACCTTTGCCAATTCTGTTAAGTACAGTCGAACCCGGTTATGCCGACGGCCTCAGCGTTTTCCAAAAAGCGTCGAGATAACCGATGATCGAGATAACCGAAAACCAATATGGCGGCAATATATATCATGCATGTGTTTTGGGAGTTTGTTTGTTGGTTTTTTTTTACACAACAGCGTTACCGCGATTTGTTTAATGAAGCGATCGGCGTGCTATAAAAATGTACATACATGTTTGCTAACACAAGTCATATGTGGGGTGCCACTTTTCCGAATTATCCCGGAATTCCGGAATTCCGGACTAGTGAGGCTAAATATTTTTCAGCTCCGGATTCGCGAGTTTTTATGTTCTCTCGCTCCGGATTCGCCAGTTCAGTTTATTCAAATACGGATTCTGGGTTTTAAAAAAATATAAAAAATCAACGTGTAAGAACGTGTGAAAGCCTATTAAGCGACAAGCGGGTTCACTATAAATAGAACAGGTACTACGACCTCTCTCTTTTGTTTGCAAGCCTCTCACTCCTCGCTTCTTGCTGCGTCAAGTTAATTACGCGAACAACGATATTGTCATTTAATTTCAATTACTACAGTTTGAAGTAGGCACGTTTCTGTTGTATATAATTTTCAAAAGCCGGCGATCGGTCATGGATATCGAGATAACCGAGGTTAAGTGGCAAATTTGGCCGCCTTTTGTGCTCGAGATATTAGGTTTAGGCGACATAAAAGAATCGACATAACCGAGGAGTAAATGCTAAGACAAAGAGAGAATTTGGCGGTTCCACTTCCAAAACTTCGACATAACAGGATTGGCGAGTTAACCGAGGTCGAGATAAGTGGTTTCAACTGTATTTAATTCGAGAGTTCACGATGAATTTTAGTAGTACAAAAATGTACAATTCAGAAATTGTTAGATCATTGTTGACTATTCAATAAAAATATTATTGCCAACCAACAATTACAATTTCGCTAATTCAGAAAAATCTCATTGATTCTTACATTATTCAGCAAATCAATTAATCGATTCCAGAAATTTCTTTAAAAAATGAATTTAGTAGGACTATATATTTTTTTTTAAAGTTTTTATTCTGAAAGAACAGATGCCATTTAGAAGCCAATTGAAAAACAAAACTGAGCATTTTCATTTTTTCCCCTTTCCCATATTATTATTTTTTTCCCTGGCGAGATTGAAAACCCGGTAAATGGGATTTGATTCCACCCCCACCCCACCTAACTCAGATCGTCCACCCCCTGTGTAGACGCCCCTGGCCCAGAGTGACATCGCCATCGGATCAAGTTCATGTCTAACGTAATGTCAGTAATGGCATTCGGTGTTTTGAAATCAGCGGAAAGCAAATATCTCGATGGGACCTCAGGGGGAGCGTGATGCCACAGTGATGAGCGTAACTTACGTTGGACCACTGCCATTTGAGTTGATGTTTTTGTCAAAGATACTGTGACCATAACTTAAACTTTAACAAATTAAATAAATAGGATTACACAAATAACAGCCTGAAGATGTCTTATGTCGGTGATGCAAATACGGTAGGTGAATAAACTGCCTGAGGCGAATAAACGTGTAGCTCGGAGATGAAGTTTTACAGTAATTGAATTGTTTGCACTGAGAACAAAACAACAGATGGAAAGAATGGGGACGACGATGACGTGGCCTAATAGTAATTACGTCTAATGGACTACGTGTGCCCGGGACGCAGAGTGGTGTCCCCTGAGAGGACGTCGCTGTGTTCTGATTGCTACCAATCCCATGGAATCAACCAAACAGCGATCACTGTCCGACTGGGACAACACCGTCAAACGACCGCAGGCTGTTACCACCCCGCTAACCGTATTACGGTGATTTCTAGACAGTCCTCGGACTAGTGAAACAAATAACTGGACGAAACCATGATATTCTCACTCGACTTTTAGAGCCAAAACAAAAAAGAAAAAAAAAATGAATTTATAATATATATACTTCTGAGTTGCACGTTACTAAATATTATTGATGCTTTATTCAGTGCCGGCTGCCTGGCTTTAGGTATATGTGATATAGGCGGCTGTCTGGCTTTAGGTATAGGTGATATAGGCGGCTGTCTGGCTTTAGGTATAGGTGATATAGGCGGCTGTCTGGCTTTAGGTATAGGTGATATAGGCGGCTGTCTGGCTTTTGGTATAGGTGATATAGGCGGCTGCCTGGCTTTAGGTATAGGTGATATAGGCGGCTGTCTGGCTTTAGGTATAGGTGATATAGGCGGCTGTCTGGCTTTAGGTATAGGTGATTTAGTCGGATTTCTGGAGCGGCATTTTCTTCCAGAGGCGGCAAATTCCAGGGAAATAAAATAAGCTAAAATCTACGAAAAAAACCACAGATATTTTGACTAGATTCTAGATGATTCAATTCTTGACTCAGAAAATAAATTTTATTTTATTTTTCAACCAGGTTTTGAATACCGCAGTTCTTCCAGTTAATGATCGATTTTGACAATTATCAGTTTTGGATTTTGTATATGACAGGGGTCGGCAACCTGCGGCTCTTTTGATGTTAAGATGCGGCTCTCCAGTTCCATGCGCAAATATTAATAATTATATTGAAATAAAAATGTTAGTGGCTCTTTAAAAACTGGGAAATTTTGTAAATTGTAACCTTTGGCTCTTCCGACTCAAAATGTTGCCGACCCCTGGTATATGACATTAAAAAGCCTATGCATTTTTATAAATATTTTATTTTAAAGAAGTTTTCAAAGAATGCATGGACCTTCAACTTTAGCCTTGGCATCTGAAAATGAAGCGTGGCGTCGGGGTGGGGGCGATCCGCCCCAGGCGGCAATTTTTCTCTATGTTGAGGGGCGGCGTTTTTTTTACCAACTGCATTGTTTTTTGTTGCTGTTGTTTATTTTCCCCCGTGTTGCGAGAGGCGTGGCGAAAATCTTGGCCCGCCCCTGGTGACGCTTGCTAGAGATTTTAGGGATGAAAAGACACTGTGTAGAGCTTTGTGTCACCATTGATTGTGACTGATTACTCTTATCAGACATTGAAACTCTGCAGAAACTCTATAGTTAAAACGCATTTGATGTAACTGCGTTAAATAGAAATATGGAGAAAATATGGCTCCGTGGGGGCCAGGGAGGGGGGAAAAATAGGAAGTCCTTTTTGAACTAAGCCGGTAGTCATTCAATGGTGGCATTTGAACTATATTTTATTGGATGTCCAACGGAATGATATGAAATAATTTTCAATGTTGGCCTATTTGACAACAATGTCATAAGGTCGGGTTTGTGCCTTTCGGGGAGGGGGGGGGGCGGGGCAGAATTATACCGTCCTTCACCCTTCTATTCTATCAATGACACGGCATGTTATTCATAGAATGTGGGACTATTTTATTAGAAGTCAGA